AATAAATAAATAAATAAATAAATAAATAAATAAATAAATAAATAAATAAATAAATATATATATATATATATATATATATATATATATATATATATATATATATATATATATATATATATATATATATATATACACACACAGTTTTACCACTTATCAGTAGTTCGGACAGTTTTTGTTCTTTGTTAGTTTTATGACCTTTCTTGTCGAGTTTTAGTACAGGGAGAAACTGCAGTACAGTACTGTCTCACTGGATTACGTCCTTCCCATGTGTCTAATCCAAATAAGATTCCAACCGTAGTCACGTGTTGTCACGCAGGGGAGTCACAGTGGCTGGAGCGGAGAAGAGTTCAGAGGGGCTGGGACGATACCTTCTTCAGTGGATAACTTTCCCATCTAACAAAAAAATTCACTCGGAGGTTCGATTTTTTTTTTTTAGCGTTTCCACAAAAATAGAATCTCCATTGCATTAAGCATCAAATATCGAGCAAAATGAAACCAAAATTGTCCGCCCAACTCGCAACATTTAAAAGATCCAAATATTTGCCCAAACTACTATGCAGCTTCTCACTGCAGTACGCTGTAAAAATTTCTACCCCTGTGAAATATCTACCCCCTTTTCCAAACAATATCAATAATCAGTGGTGTTTCTAGCCTTCGGAAAGTGGGGGGGCCACTTTGGGGCCAAGGTAAATGTTGGGGGGCAAAACCAAACCTGTGTACAACTTGCAAGATGCAGTTTTTGGCATTATTACACCAATTTGATTGACAAATGTGAAGTGACGTCTCTCATGACGCCAGCCTAAAATAATCAAAATATGGCGGTATAATGGCAACGCTCTTATTCCACTAATCATGATTCATTGGAGTATTGACATATATGAACATATCTTTAAAACTGTATTATTGCTCACATAGTCACATAAAGGGCGGGCGTACCACATAACAAACACTGAAACATATAGCAGTGTCTTTACAATGTATGTACATACATCAGCGAAAAAATGATGTGACCCCACCCCTCATATCTGCACCCTCCAGACCTCACCTCACCCATGCCTGCATCTGGCGTGCGGCACGCCCATTGCCTGAGTCACTTGACTCACTTCCTGGTTTTGGGAATGTTTTTGGAATTACAATTTTGAGAATAAAAAGTGGGGGGGGCCAACCCAGGAGCCAGCCCAAACTCTGGGGGGACCAAATGGCCCCCCCCCCGTAGAATCGCCCCAGTCAATAATATGGAGAAAATGCAAGTGGCAGCTTGCATTATCCCTCTTATTTTAAGCTAAATATACTTATAATCAATCAACAATAACTAAAATCACTTACCGCCATTTGTTAGTCGATATTTTGAGCAGAGGTGGGACTCATGGCGTCTGTCTTCAGGCACATGTTTATCACTTTTGCACTTGGCGCCAAGCACAGTATAGTACCGGGTAGACATTTTTTTAATGTAGAATTTTCACATAACAACGGAATTAATAGCAAGCAAGTCAAGGCAACCTAAGGTAGATACGCACACAATCTGAATAAAAGTGAATAAAGACATTATAGAAAAAACAAGGCATATAAATTGGGTAAAGGTGTAGCACATGGCTAAACACCACAATAAGTTGTTCAATTTCATTCATTTTTTCCACAATGTTCTTTGGGTGATAGTAATAAATAACAATACAACTTTTTATTTTCATTTTAATAATTTTTTTATTTTCTCTATCTAGGATTATAAATCACTTGTTGTAAGCAAGGATGAGGGAAATTAGGGGTTAAAACACGGTGAAAAACTCACTATACGCAGGGGCAAACCAGGAAATTGGATGGGAGGGGAGGGGGCAAAGATTTGAGCTGGGTGAGGTGCCGACATGGTGTTCTAACTGGAGGGGTTCAGGGCCATATTTTATTTGCACTAACATAAAATACATGAATTTATTGAGCTGAATACACAGTACATAAATACAGTTAACCCTCACTTTACGCGGTTAATGTAACCCGGAGGGTCCCGCGTAAAGTGAGAAACTCGTAAAGTGAATAACATAACATATGGGATTAATTGAAATGGAGTCCGGGCCGATCCCCAAACTCCACTTTTTGACGACACACAACTATGTTGTAGTAAAAATATTATCTTAACTTTATGATGGTATGCACACACAATTAATAATTAAGAGAAATATCAATAATATTAGGTTTTTTAACACTTACATTAGTAGAAAAAATGGCTGGGCACACGGGGATGGGGGGTTGGTTCCGAGGCAGAGGGCAGATTATTGGTCCTCACCTGTGTCACTTGTATCAATTGTATCACTATCCACCACAGAGGCTTGCAGGGCCCAAAGTCCATATAAGTCCATATCCTCACCATAATTATCACTATCACTGACTTGGGCCGGCTGTGGTAGGTGGCGGGTGAAGAACTGGTAATGTTTTGATGACTGGGCGACCTTGTGCGCACCATGTTCGCGCAGCTTACACAACATGGCGGATGGCGGGAGGTTTGGATCCAAAAATGGCGCGGCTCGCCAGCCGCTCTCCGCGTAAAGGGGTACACGCACCGCGGAATGTGAGCATCCTGGGTTCCGGCAGGGCACCTCGTAAACGTGGAAAAGCGGAATGTGGGACCTCGTAAAGTGAGGGTTAACTGTACTGTGAAGCTCATTTTTATCATTTTGCATACCAATGGTTATAATATAGTATACATAAAGAGACCAAATTTGTTTAAAATATTTTATCTAATGCACCATATACATAAATACTATAGTGTAACACATTTTTATCATTTAGCATTCTATTGTTTATATAGACTTATATTAAAAGATAGTAAAGGTCATAAAATTAGTTTAAATTTGATTTTTTGCACAAACATAAAATATCTTTACTTTTCAACAAGTATAGTTGAGAATGCATGTGCAGTAGTGTCAGGCCTGTCAGTCTCTCATTTCCCATTGTTGATCTGAATAGTGTTTTTATTCTTTCAGAGCAGGGTGCACAGGAATGAGCAGGGCTCTCACATTGGAGATCATGGAACTTGGTGTCTGAGAGACGGTGGTGGTCAGTGTAGTTGGAAGGTTCGTGAGCCCTGTTCTTGGCCTTTTTCCCACCTGGCACGCAAGGTGAGTATCTCACTCTTCATGCTGCGAGGGGATGGCAAGTCCTCTCGATAGAGGTTAACCAGCTCTTGTATTCTTCTGCTAGTGTCAGGGTTACCAAGATGGATGGGATGGCACTGAGTCCCTGGAATGTCTTCTGGTGCAGATGGGTGAATCTCATCTCCAGCTCTGCCAGGAGATGGTCTAGGAGTGGAATGGCCACCAATCTCCTGTAGTATTCAGCTGATCCATCAGCTCATGTGTTGTCATGGTGTCATTTGCATTTACAGTCTGGGCAAGGAAGGTGACACCTACAGCTTCTCTGCTTGACAAAACCATTCAGTGTAGTGATCATCCATGTTGTTTTGGACGTCTTGTAGTGCTGCTCTCACTCAGTTAACTTCACTGCTTGCCTCAACTATGTCCTTGGCCTCTGCCTGAAGACTAGTGGTCACATTTTTCAAGGTAGTCTAGTGCATTGTTGATCACCAGTGACACAATGAAGTCTGTGCTGGTGATGGCGAGCAGCAGGGCCTGGGCATCAGTCAGTGAGTGAGTCTGTGGACCAGCTGCCAAGACCACCCTCCACAATGTCCTCCATGTAGGCCACCACTGAGGAATGTAACTCCACAAAGGTTCCTAGGGCATCTAGCCATTGCATCCAATGTGTATGGCACAGGATTTTTCAGTTTGTTTCCTTGATTCAGGTTGAGTCTCCAGGACAGCCACCTCAAAGGTCATGTTGGAATGCCCTTCCATGAAAGACAACATCTTGTCCACTTTGCCCATCATGTTCCAGACACTAGTCATCTGGATGGAGTTAACAATAGCCGGGTTGAGAGCATCCATGGTGCCAGCTCCGTCTTAGACCTTACCTCCAAGATTGTTGATATCAAGTCTGTACCCTGTGATGCTGGTTGTCATCTCTGCTAGAATTCTGCCATACTCCAAAAAGTCCACCAGGTCTTCTCCGAGGTGGTCATTGGGTCCACATACCTCAACACCATACTGAGCTGCTCCTTCCAGGCAGTCAGTGATCCCATCAACTATGCACGCTGCAACCAACCTCCACGCACAACAAACATGGAAGAATATTCCAGCCCGTGGTCTGGGCTGGGGATGATGCTGCCAGTCTGCTCTCAAAACCAGCAGCAGGATAGGAGCCATTTTGTCTGGACCCTTCCCGGTGACCCACCCAGTTAGGGAAATCCTTCCCCTCCTTCCAAGGAGGGAAGGAGGGAAGGAAGAGGGGCTATGCCCCCCTCTGGTAAGGCTCACCGGATCATCAGGACCCGCAAGCCCCCCTATCGCAGCAAGGCGGCCCCCACTGGAGGGTATTGTGTGAGAAAACAAAAGAAAGAAATAGAGAGCTAAGGTTTTTTTCTTTCCCTAAGACAGGAAAAGGGAAGCACAGTATAGCACCTAAGGAGTATCCCCCCCATTTTTATATTTGTTTCTAATGATGGTTTATTTCCTCTTTACAAATGTATAATTAAAAATATCAGAAACCAATAGAGGAAAAGTAAGAGTGAGGTTTGGAAACAGATAAAACTACCCTACAAACAAATATAAATATGGTGTTAAAATACAATATAACCAGTGTGTCATAAGAAAGCACATATCCATACAAATTTATGAAAAATTTACGTTATAGTGAAGGCCCTCTCACTCAAAGTCAATACAGGAGATAATACCTTTTATAACCCTTGTATTTTCCTTCCAGATAACACGGTAGTAGATTAGGGATCTGGTGTAAAAAATTGGACATTTTAGGAAGTACTTGTCCTAAAGCTGCGTTTAACCCAACATCGGGTTAAAACACGCCCTCTAACCTAACAAAGGCAGGGTCACTACTCCCCGAGGTATTCAAACATTACCCCCGAGTCCTGCACATTGTTGGAAAATTTAAAATTCATCAACTTTATCTCTTTATTGTATAAATACCCAATACAATATCATTTACTAGAAATCCTTTGTTACTGAATACTCAATCATGTGAAAATAAAATAAGGCATGTATTAACCAACATAATAAACAGAAGCAACCATCAAGGCAAGACAAACATAGATCTGTGCGAATTATGCATAACAATTACATCTTTGTCACTGCCATATTTTCTGCAAAATGCATAATGCTGACAAACAAAAATAAATGCTCATCAGACAAGAGTGTAACAGCAGACTCTACACAGGACATAGAAGGAAAATATTTAGTGTACAAAAAAGCATCATGATTGTAATGAACATCAAAAAGAGATGGGATGTCTACTGATACATTGTGACCCCATATTCCAACTGGCTTTCCCAGCTATATGATCCGACATGAACTGCACTACACTGTCTAAAATTTGCTAATGAAAGTATACACAAACATGTCAGAAATTTCCATTCAAAATAGGCGGATTTGGGTCAAGTTGATCCACCCCATTTGAGCTGACAGACTGGTTGACACAAGCTGTCTGATTGGCACTAGACAATACCGGTAGAACAGGAGGAAGTGTCAGCCTCACCCTGAGGATATGGCATGTAGCACATGAGTTCATACACTAGTAGTGTGTAGGGCTTCATGATGACAGTTTAACACAACCTCCTCATAGCTGCCGTCCAGTGTCCTGCTGCTGCCTCTGCCACAAGTCACACGCCACTTTGAAATTAAAGTCACGTGTCAACACTTACCTCTCTGAATTGGAGTGTGCATCACCTAAACTACTCCTGGAATGTGAGACAACCTAAAGTGAGCTGGTCAGTGCTGATCTGACTCATGGGCTTCCTTATAACATTATAGCATCTCATCACACAATCCTACATTTTGATTGAACAGTCTAACTCTTTAACAATTTTCATATCAATGTGTGTACATCAAGGTAACCCATAAGAGTCATAGCAGCCTGAGAATGTCATAAAGACTGTAGGGTGCCCTAGCAGAGGAAGGTTCCTGGGATCACACAGTCTGGCTAGTGTCACTTTTGCTACCAATAACCAACGCTGGAAAAGTATGCAATATTGCACGTGCAAGTCTGATAAAATGCTAAAAAATAAATTTTTAAAATTAACAAAATCCTGAAAAGGCTTACCATATAAAGCAGTTTTGAGACATTCGTTAAGTGAATTGCTTAAGAAAATTTTTTAAATTGATCACAATGAATTGAGATAGGATTAAGTGTCATCTATAGAACAGTTTGTTGCATTTATGACCATTCATCTTACAAGATATATTACACAAGCACATGACAGCACAGTAGCTACTCAAAATTCAGTCGACCCCGTGCACATTATAAAATGTTTGTAATTATAAAACCTATACGATTGTGTATTATACAAAGCAAAATTTTCCTTTGTGAAAGGTAAAAGGAACTAGATGTCTAACTGCTTGTTCCTACCAGGGAGAAGAGTTTGGGAACCTGGAAGAAATTAGGGAGGTAGAAAGGTATTTGGAGAAGGTCTTGTTAAGGTTACATTGACCTTCTACAAAGCATCAGACTCCTAGGACCGGCAGGAGGCACGGCAATACAATAAATGTTAACCTCTACTCAATAAACAACCTATTCACTATAATTAATATGACCAAGAGCAGTGCACTTGTTGTGGAATAAAACACTGCGACACTTTATCTTTGCACCAAAGCCTCACATGCAACCCTCTACCCGTCCATCCATAGTCCTCTGGCACACACTCAGTTCACTCTTGTCCACTTCATAAAACACTTGGCTATCATTTGTGCTGGCAAAGTCATTCTTGCCAAATTTCAGCCAATATGTTGGTCCACCACTCGGGAATAATCAAGCACACCACTACTGTCCAGACTATAGTATTTTTGTGTGCATATCAATATTATGAGCCCAGGTAGACTCCCCACAAACCAACACAAAGGTCACACTTTGGATTGTCAGTACGAAACGGTAGAAAATTAACTGTCTACAAAGAGCAGCCGTGAGCATGACCTGCTCCAATCATCCATCAGCAGACAAATGTTGCTTAGGTATATAAACACTCTATGAGTAATGATTGATACAATAATGTCTTTACAAGGTATCAAAGTAATAAAGTTTCTTGGCACCATTTGTGTGCTTCTATAAAATATATCATAGGGATGCTTATCAAATTGAGCTTTGCCTTCTCCCCAATGTCACACATCATGTAAGAAGTTTAACAGAACTGAGTTGTCACTAACTAGTGTTCACATAACATGCACAACGAGTGTCAACATCAATATAACAGACAAAACATCAGCAGTCAGACTCAGAAGTCCATTTTTATAACACCATAAAAGATGAATTAATGTAATTATTATTATTACCCTTAGTAACTTGTTCTTAGTCACACTGAGTTACAGGATAATGAATGTGGAAGAAAGCTCCAACAGTGAACATAATCATCTTGTAATCTCGTGTGGCACCTCAGTGGAAAGTAAGTGCGCAGCAGGACATGCTCGGAAAAGGCAGCCGGACGGCCGGCCCACTTCCCCGTTGTACAGCCGAGCAGCAGGGACGAGTCCAGCACAGCAAGTGAGTGTTCACACCCAAGAATCTCCTGCCTGACCATCTCCTTTATCTAGAAGCACCCCATTGTTGTTGCTGGTATTGCTGTTGTTGTTGTTCATACTTGAACTGTTGTTGAAGTTGGGAGATGAAGTGGGGGAACCCGAGTACACGGGTCCACCCCAATCATCGGCTCCGCCCAGCGATCCGTACTGTGGACCATCATATTGTCGGTTGCGCTTCTTGTCCCTGTTCACCTTGGCATATACTGGTTCCCCTGGTTTGCCCTAGGAAGAATGCAATGTAATTAAATTTCTATTGGCAATTCAGTGAGAGTAATGTACCATTTCTGTACAATACTGTGTGCACGTATATACAATTTTTCACCAACACTGTATGAACATGAGGTTCACAAAAACATGGCATTTCTACAAAAGCCAATGAATAAGCAAATACTGTACTGTATATGGTACAGCATGTTATATTCAATGTTAAACTATAGTTACATAAATAGCTGCAAGATGCAATTGGAAAGTTTTAGTACAGTTTACTCATTACAGAAATATACTCGGTTAGTTTTAAAAATTCAAATCTACATTCAAATGCTGTGGCAATTTACTTAAAGCAAAAAGATTATAAAAGTTGAAGAGAAGAACAGTACAGTACAAGAGTGAGGAGAACCACAAAGGGCTACAGTACAGGAAGAGGAATATGGAAGCTAACCAACCAACCAACCACTCAACTAACCAACCATTACATGAGCGCTGGGTTAGTGCTGAGGAACTCCAATATCCTATGGAGGAAGAGAGAGAATATGGGTTAAGCCAATACACCGGTGGTGTACCACGAGCTTCAAGCAACTTACAGTGCAGTCAAGCCTTACCTATTTTACGTCTCCAATTCACCCTTTTGTTTTATAAAAGCCAAATTTCAATTATTAAAGTTTCTACAAAGTTTATAATATTTCTAAAAGAATTTCCTACTAATTAACATTTATCATTAATGATTTTCACTAAAACATTATTTTTAAAACTTTATCAATAACTCCATTAACACTTACACATCTTATTGTCCGTTGTTTCCCTTTTCCCGTGTGATTTTATCAATATATATATATATATATATATATATATATATATATATATATATATATATTTTTTTTTTTTTTTTTTTTTTTTTAGAAAAAAGAAACTATATATATTTTCTAGTATTACAGTCTAATACTATGTTTACTACTATTTTTGTTAAAGATGAGGATGACTGGGATATTCATAATATAAAAACTTACACTAAGATAAGATTTTAATTTGAAACAATTAAATTTTTTTACTTCATCTAATCTACTACCATCATACTGTAATAACATCCTTAAACTATCCTGTTACTATACCATAATTCAAGAACATAGTACAGGTAGTGTGTCAACTTCCACGAATTAATAACATCTAGTGCAACATTATAATACGCAATTTATTATCATATGTCAAATTAAATTTTTATGTTGGGTCAACAGTCCACAATGTTTCTGAGCTATTGGTTATTTCACCCGTGTTCACATTACATGACACGATGCATCACTCGGTCCTTATAACAACAAGATGGTTCACTCGCTGGTAACCTCCAGAGTATCACTAATATCTGTTTATTTTCAGTAAGTTTCTGATGTTATGTTCTAAAGTGTTCCCCCTCTCTTGTTTATTGTCTCATAAATAACTCTTATAGTATTAGCAAAACTCCAGGGCCACCAGTGACTCAGTCATCCTCAAGTACTGCATTTTACTCAACACATACACAACACTCTCCTCACTCAGTCACTCACTATGTACAAATCAAAGCCTACCTGTACAACCAGTTAACTTAATCCGGATTACGGTTAAAATACTGTGTGAATAATTCTAATTATCTGTGATCAAATGGCAAATCAATTTAATTTTAAATACTGTACTAATTAATGACAAATTGGCTATAGCTCTCCATGCTGGATAAAATGCTGTTGTGAATCAGATCCTACATGGCTGTACTTTACCCACTGCGGGTCAATACTTAACTGTTCTTATAATCTTCAAGAAATTTTTTTATTCTACCATGACACTTAAGATTTATCAGTATCTCATAGGTCTTCAGATTCCTCAACCTGTCTGGCATAACCTCCAAATGACTTTATAATAAGTAAATAAAGAATCACCTGAGTGTATACACAACACAAGAATGCACATACAAACTTTACATACATACATATATACATACTGTACACACACACTGCCATACATAAAATACATATACAACGGGAACCAGCTGAGCCGTGAGGAGAGGTTCCTGCACCCATCACAACATAGGTGGTCATGCTGAAGTTTTTAGCAATTACTGTATAGTAAAAGGGAAAAATTATTAGGTTAAACAGCAGCAATTTCTTCCTTTCTTTCTAAGTTTTTACTCATTATTTGTAGTCTAGGTTGTAATATAAGTATAGTACAGTAATGAAAATTCAGAACTTTTTAATAACAATATTAGTTATTGTAAAAAATACATAAAAAAACTATAATTGTGGGATGAGATTACTACAAACAATGTCTGGGGCTCAGTTGCTGCACCTAACTGGCAATGATGGTGAGTACAAATATATTGCCATTATGAAAATTAGGGAATTACTATTGAAATTATTTATAAAATATATTTAAAAAAAAATCCTGAACTGTTGTGTTCACATTCTATCTTAACAAGACAGAATAGAGGAGCACTATTCTTGAACACTAAGTTAATTATTTCATACTCTGCTCATGTTATATAATTTCATCCTGGTTTACAAATAATAGAAATAAAATATATTAGGAAACGACAACCATTAATAATGATTATCGTGCCTGATATGAACACATGTCACAGGTTGTTCAATTAATGATACTTCCAACAGACTGAGTGTTTTATCATAAACTTGTGTCTCCCAACAAATTCAATCCAGATGGAGTCACTATCAAGTCATTAACACAACTGTGTTGAGTTACCGGTGAGTTCAAGGAAGTCTTCACATTGTGAGAGGTAAGCATAGATGTAAATAAAACTAAATAAAATATTGTATAATTATGTCAAATACAACCATGCAGAGGTGGCATCCCCTTATAGCTATATACTGTATATACTTGTTGATATATTATATTTTGGGAAATATTGATACCTTAAGAAACTTGAGGGTTACCTGTAAACCACCACAAAAATGATCAAACTGATCCATTAGTAACAGCAAAGGGACAACTGAGAATGTGTCTACAACAGCTTCTGAGCAGTGTATACTGTAAGTGGGTGCAGGCAAATAGCCAGCAGGAACCTTGCAGTAAGATGGAGTCAACAATTCCACATACAGCAGTCTGAATGTGTCACAACTAAGTTTTTGTTTGCTTTCATTTCCACACACATCTCACCACTCTGTATGGTGAACAGGAGTGTACTGATATGGGCAAAAATAAGAAGCTAAAATGCCTAAATTTCCCTTTATAGCTACTCAAGACTAAAACTAAGGCAGACTGAATTTGTAAAGCTTCTGAAATATTGCTTAGAGATAATCATACAACAAATACATTAAACACATTGGTTTTTGACATAGATTTGTTGTGCTATATTGTTAAAGGGGAGTACAGTAATGTACCATCACTGACATTTAACTGTGTAAATGTTATAAAAAATATGATCCATTAAACTATGTGAGAAAGTTGACAAACTACTAAACTACACATAAGGTATCACATGTGGTACATAAGCATGCAAATACATTTGTAATTTATACGACTTTAAATTTTCAGATTAACTACATTGATGTACTATATTAACCTAGAACAAAGGTGACCTCTCACAGAAAACATGCTCTCATGTGTCAATCCCCAAGCTAATGTTTCATCAACAGGCAGGAAATTCAATAAATTTATTTTAATTTAAAAAAAAAAAACTTACTTGGAGTGTTGATGATGCCGTAGGGCTCATCAATTGTTCAGCAGGAGTTTTTACAACACCTTTAAAACTAAAACGTGAGTGCACCATTTGGTATCATGCAACAGTGCTGGTGATCATGTTAGTCACAGAGAGCATGCAACCCACTGGGCTGGCTGCTATGCCTGCCACCATGCACCACACACCAACACCATAACAAGTTACCAGAAAAAACAACAACAGAAAAAGTAAACTATAGGGTAAGCCCAATTCCTAACAACAAACACTTGTGATTAATACTAGTGAATTCTGGTACCTAAATATTTTAATGACTTAATTCAAGAACACTACAAAAGCTGATCAACACATACAGTACAGTACTTCACTAATACTGTACAGTAATCCCTCGCTAACAACTGGTTTACCATGTGCAGTTTTGAGTATCCACATTATATATTTGGTACACCGTCTCACCAACCACAGTATCCACAGGTTTCTACAGCCACCACAGGGGATTTCTAGCCCGGCGTGGTACTATCTGCTGAATCAGGTTTATCAAGTGGTTCTTCCTGTTCACTTCATGTGTAAGATCCTCAAATGACAAGAGTATTATCATCTACCACACCCAGGTCCTCTTTTCTTCTCAAACCTCTTTAAGCCATTTTCAATTTGATAAAGTTTATCCTTCATATTATACTATGCTATAAGATGTCGTCTTCCTACTGTTCTGGCAGTAGTCATACAAGTGCTCTCAGTTCTAATTTTGTGTTCTTAGCACCAACAGATTATACTATGTTCAACCTGAGTTTGTTTCTAAATATTAATGAAACCAACATATCCTCTAATGATTCTCCTATGACAGATAGATCTTAAGAGGCTGCAGAAACTTTCATATTTTCACTACAAAACCTACAAAATAAACCTGGCTCTGAACTTCCTCTTCAGGGCTTACCCTATATAATACTGAATAATTTAGTGTTCAAAGTAAAATCAGAAAAAATAAAAATCATATTTGAAAATAAAATTACATATGACAGTATCAAACACAAATTGATTACTAGAAATATAATGGCAGATTGATGCTGAAATTTCATATTATCACAGAGCTTGAACTAAGAAACCTGTGTACTGTGCCCACTAAGTCTACAGAGAGGAAACCCTCAAACACTGGTGGCTGGGAATAGTTCATAAATAAATCCTGGCATCCTGTCACAAAGCCCCAGGAGAAGGATCTTTATAAACAGCAGTCAACATTTAAGGTGGAAGGCAGTGTGTCGTATCACATAAATCTATATTTACTGCACTTAATTTGGCCATAATTTGTCACTCTCAGCTCCAGCCAACTTCATTGATACACATTAGGAAGAAGGATAGTCACTTAGTCCAGGTTTGGTCATAAAATGGGATTTCAGGATCAATCCTCCATTTATAACCAAATTCCTGTCCAAAGTGACTTACATACAGAGTCTACTAAAGCCACTAAATAGAGGGAGAACATGGCACAAATATGCTCAATTAATAGTGTGACAAGTTACTGACTAGTGGCAGATGGATACAAGGAAATTGACCTCACAACCTCCCCTGTGTCATGCAGTCCATCTGCATTACTTCCTGATCTAGGTACGGTAGTAGCTAATATATGTTTTGGCCATTAGGGACATCCCTCACACGAGTCTTTTTAGAAGCACATTGGTGAAGTACATTGTCCACGATTTTATTTCTTTTAACAGATGAAAGCACTACGAGAGATCACATAAATGTATTTGTCAAATCTATTCACCAAAGTGTCCTCTTGTCAAAGACCAGAGATACCTAAAACAATATGCCTTGAAATGAAATTTGTAAGACAGGAAAACACCGTGGCAGGAAGTTGCATGGAGTGTTAGTCAGGGGTGCTTTAGAAACAAAAATAAAGACAATTCAGCAAAACCTCCATAATTCAGAATTATATGGGCTCTACTGTGGCTGAAATAAAGCAAATTCTGAACTGTGATGTCTGTTCACAAGCAAGGAATGGTTTGAACTAAAGTGACAGATTCTGGCCGAGCCAAGTCATGTGACATGACAACCCACTCCTTCCAACGTGTATGGTAATTGCTGATTATACAGATTCTTCTCATAAACTTGTTTATACTGAAAAGACAAAATTACAGTAACTTCTGAATTAATCCAAGCCATTAATGTTTAAGAATTCACCTGTAAACTCAGTGAGCACAACACACTAAGTCACTCACAACAAGCACTGGGTCATAAGACAAATTTCATTATTCATGCTGAGTTAATAATGTTAATTTCTGTATAGCTTAATATATTGCTAATTATTGAACTTTAATAAAAACATTATATTATCACTTCTGTAACAACTTTAATGAGTCACTAGAATATTGTTATTCATACTTTACTTTACAGCTTACACAGAGTGACTGGCTGGCAATTATCTGTGTGAAGATCATAAATCATATAACACAAAGCAACATTTACTGCAAAAAATGAACACACATTTAATATGGTCTTCTGAATTTAGTATACCTCCAGTATTCATATATTTATTAAGACAACTGCAAAAGTTTTTAACACAGGAACAACTTGATATTGTTCTATAACTAAGTTACATCTGAAGTTACAATGCCACTCGGAAATATTAGTATGACAGGAAACAAAGTGCTACTAGTGCAAGTGGGTGTTGGTGTGGGCGTGAGGGAGGTCACCTACCTGCACGGGAGGATACAGTCTTACCCCGCCGGCTGGAGGGCCCACCCCGCCGCTGCTGCCGTACCCCATATCTGCCATTGGTAATTCTTGACCCTGAGTATTAAACAAAATTATTAGAAGGTCTATAATGGAATCTATAATCATAAATTTACACATTACCTTTACATTGAGTATAAAATAAAATAATAATAATAATACTGTAATAACTGCACACTAACTACAAACTCATCATCCACCGTCTCACTGTTACGGAAAAATATATCAAGACCTCAACACCGAGTTCTTTGTGTTGGTTCCTTTCCTTGCAGAATTCATTTATCCACAAGTCACTCATTTCTACTCACTCTTCCTTCTGTCTTTCCAACATTCATCTTCCTGTCTTTTAGCCTGACTCGCTCTTCCAATTTACCTCACACTTATAATCTCTAATCACACACCTCCTTAACAACCTATCAGTCAAATGCCATTCCCACACGTACAGTTGCCTGGGGTACAGCGGTTGGTGCATTTTGTGACATGTGGCAACTCTGTGGAATGCTCATCAAGCATCCTTAGTCTGGCTGGTAATGCGAAGTTCTTTAAGAGCCATTCCAGGAGTTTTAATGTGACGTAAACAAACACAGAATTGCCACATCTCACAAAATGTGTCACTGTACCAGATACTGTTAGAAGAGCAGGTGACTGTATCTAACCTGAAAAATAAAATAAGGAGAGTATTTGATGGTACACAGAGACAAATAAAAACTAAGTACTGTACGATATTCATTCAACCTCCACCTTTGTTTGGTGATACAAGACTGAGGGAAAATGCAAGCTGTAAAACATATGACTGGGTTACTAATACACCTGTTTTAAGTCTCGGTGAATTATACTAAGGAACTGACATGATGCTGCCATCAGACATAGTTAAATTGTGTATCAAACAGCAAAATAGAATAGTTGAGGATGCTTCACACTGATTAACCAATTGGTCTGAGTAAATTAAGCATTCATGTTATTTTTAGAAAAGAATGTACAGTACTGATAAGTAGATACAATAGATATAAATTTTTATTTGTTTATACATATTGTTTTATACATACAGTATTGGTAATATTTTTTGGGATTACTGTAATTGTTTAAATCCCTACTGATAATGTGGAGAAAGTTTAGTAGAACAATGGGTGGATTATCACATTCACCTGATATAAAGAAATAAAAGATTAAATTCTGAGAAAAATTCTGAAGAGTAAACTTTATGCCTTGAAAAGTAACAAAAAAAAATTGTGAACAAGTTGGTGCTGCAAAATATCTTTGTAAGTGAAAGTAAAAATTTATGCTACAGCCAATTTAATGTAGGTGCCACATCCAATTCGAACACCCTCACTGTGGCATCCAGTTCAGAAATCCTAACACAGTAGATTATAAAGTTCATGGCTTGTTTCAGACTGCTTGGGATAAAACAACAAATGCCTCAAATGGCCTGATCTCATGGAACACACACTTCTTGATCCCAGGATTATGAATTTACAAACAAGACTATAATTCAGTTGATGGCTCTACTAGGTAGATACACAATAATATTTTGGGGAAGTAAAAAATGGATGAGCAAAGCATGGAATGAAAAGTTTGAAGACCAAATTCATCACCACCATCATCAAGATCAAAATGGTCTCCACTAATACTGGAAACCCACAAGCCAATGCATCATGAAGGTTGTAACAAATACCAGGAACAGGTTAAAGAAACCCGTCAAGATGAGTTGGCTGAAGTCGCAAGAAAGTCCACAGGGATACAAATGAGTGGAGGAATTAAGATGGGAAATATCACTTGGTGAAATGAAGTCCATGAAACAGTTAAGACAATATAGCTGAGAAAATATCTTCAAAGGAGATATCCTGAGAGTAGAATTGAGAGTCAGATTTCTCAAAGAATTATCAAGGGTTCAGAAGAATGGTACAGATACATGAAAGGATCTGATGAAAAAGTTAAGAGACACTATGGCTAATATAACTCTAATAGACCTCCTGTCTCCATATGACAACTGTTGCTTTTGATCTCCTTTGAGAGTAATGATTGTGATAGGAAGAGAAGGGTAATTTATTTACCCAAATTCGGTTAACAGATCCCACCCTTGTGGACATAATATGGAGTTGTCTGAGAACACAATACCCCAGGAAGCTGCCTGTATTACAAGAGCTGCCTGGCTAAGGCTAAACAACATAAGCCGGAGATGTCTCAATTCCTGAGGAGGAAACACAAGAAGAAAATGTGGATGAAGGAGCTGTGAGGTGTGGCAACAACAAATCTCACCTAAAGTTTTAAGTGGCAGAGAAACAGATTAAAAGGTTACCAGAAGACTTTGAGAAAATGGAAATTATATCACCTTGCAGAAAGTAGAGACCAGACAAAGTTAAAGTTACTGAGGCATATCACTTACAGTATATATCATGCTACTGCACTAAGGTTTATGAGCGAGCACATAAAGATAGAAGGGCCACAAGTATTTTGGAACCCAAACTTCAGGAACATCAACATAAAAGTAACTTCAGGAACATCAACATAGAAGTAGGATGGTTAGAGGTAAAATAAATTTGTTTAAACATTCCATGAACTGCTGTGGAAATGACCTGGGAGTTTAATATTCCACTTGATAGTGGTTTCATGGACATGAATAAAACATCTAAGTGAGTCCCTCGACAGATTCTGTGGAGATTTCAGAAAAAAAGATTGACATTTTTGACAAAGAACTGAGGGCTGTCCAAAGTGTGTGTGAACCATGCAGCGGAACAACAAGGACATCTTACCAAAATGGTGGCTGGTTTCCTCTATCAACCGGAGTCAAACAAGGATCTGTAATATCCCACTTCTGTTTATTACCTAGCTTTATGAACTACATTCTGTCCAAATGTCTAGAAAGATTCCCACACAAAGATACTAAACATATGTCTAGAAGAGCGACATGAACTAGAAATTATGGATGATGTAGATAAGTGGAAGGAATATGATGTTAAGGTTCTGTTAACAACTCCAAAGACATGGAAGCATTCTGTGGACAGACAAATACTTAATACTGTTTTACACTTCAACTATCTCAGTTATTTACAGAGACATTATAGATAAAATAACTGAAAGAATCTCCTAATAAAGCCAAACCATTGGAGCCTTAAACCCAATCCTCAGAGAGACACAAGTACCAGTGAGTTATCTACTAAACCATCTTGCTGCCCACTCAGACATACCAGCCAGATACTTAAGACACTAACGGAAAGACACAGACATTGCATTCAGGCATCAGAAAAGAAGACCTTTAGGAATAAGCTTGAAAAGATCAGAAACGCTGTCATAAAAGGTGAGACAATAAAGCTCTGTAGGAAAAACTGGAGAGGCAACAACTGGTACAATAAGTTGTAACAAGAGGACTTGGCCCCAGATACTGTGCTAAGTAATGGACTAGTGGAAGGTAACCAATCAGCAGACCACCGGATGCAGCAGTGACCGGCGGAGTATCAACTACAACCCTCCCAACAATCAAGCACTAAGTGTACGTGAAACCATCCAGTGCCAACAGATGCAGACACAGTTGACTGCAAGATCCTTCTACTGATAAGTTTGAATCATCTTTACAAATGTTCATAACCTTTCTCCTCTCTCAATTCTATTACATAATCCACGTGGTTCCTTCACCTTCCCAACCTTTCCATTAATATCACTCATTATAATTAGATATTAACTGACTTCACACCTTCATCTGTCTTCAATAAATCTTCTTTCTGAGTGTATGTAAATGACGTCTACTTCACTGTGATAAACTACTTTGTAATGTTTCAATCTTTAGCACTTGAAAACTACATCGAGTGTCAGTGCCTGAACTATGAGGAAGAATCCACAAATAAACACATCTCAAATCCCTGCAGTGACAACATAAATATTGAGGTAGACACGAATCTCGAAGTTTTCCAAGTAACTAAATGTATACCCGGTAAAACTGACGAAACAGACCTGTGCATATCGTTGATGTGCTTTCGCTTGTCCCCTTTGAATGGTCCTATCCTCATACCGTGTACCACCTTGGGATGCCATGGGTCGGTTTAGGGTATTATTGGCAGTCGGGGAATTGGCGCCGCCCGAGGCAGCATTACGTGCAGCGACACTCTTACTAACAAAGTCTTGCTCCTTCCAGCCCGCTTTCTTATACACTTCACGTAACTCCTGATGGCCCCACATTGAGAACAGCACCTATGGATTAAACATTTGATTTAATTTTGTGACCATTAAAAAATCCATAATTACCTCCTTGTAACTTTACCCTATATATATATATATATATATATATATATATATATATATATATATATATATATATATATATATATATATATATATATATATATATATATATATATATATATATATATATATATATATATATATATATATATATATATATATATATATATATATATATATATATATATATATATATATATATATATATATATATATATATATATATATATATATATATGTGTGTGTTATCATCTATCAATTTACATCCTCAAGAGATACATTACTACCTATCTTTACCACATTACTCTTTTTCACACACACACTATATCAAGGTTACTTTATTTATATCACTGCACCTTGTTTTAAAAATATCTCAAACTTGGGATCACATGAAAATTAACCCCCAGCTTATTTCACCTGATAATGCCACAATAAACATATATATTCAATGAATGTCTATTTCAATTCAACATTATACTGTACTTCCTGTATCTTAAACAGTTAAAGAGTATAAAAGCATTTAATTACTTTTATATTGTAAACTGAGTAAGAAATTTGTTAACAATGATGATTTTTTCCAAACACTTTTAAAAGCCAGTGTGAATTACTTAGCAATTTTACATGTGCATTTACTGGAATGTCATTATAATTCAACGATCAAATATGTAAACACATCTCAAACTTAAAATTATTATCAACCTTTTCTCAACACATATTGTACAGGTACAAGACTCACCTGTGAGGCAAATTTGACAACCCTAACGGAGTAACGTCCACGATGCCGCGTCATGTTAACCAGCCTCTCTACACCCCCAACGTCCAGTAGTGAACGGGAGAATTCTGCACTCTTCTTTATCACCTCGTTTAGGGTGGCTAAAACAGCGGCAATAGTTTCATCGCTGGTTCCACTATCATGGGTATTCCCTGATGGCAACTTTTGAACTAAATCTCTCATTGCATATTTACCTGCAACAAAATAGGAAAACATATTTTATGTAAGCAAAATATAAAGAACTTGTAAGAATTAAAGCTGATGGTAAATGATGCAAACATTGATAACAAAACTGAGGAAAAATAATTAATTATACTGAATATGATGCGAACTGTATAAAGGAGGTTAATCAGCTTCTTATTACTGGTTCTGTTTATTTAAACATAAACAGTGTTTCAACAGTACTTGTAAAACATGTAAAGGTAAACAACAACATACTCTCACTTGTCTTACCAATAAGCTCTTTGTTTCTCTGATCGATGGCCAGGTTGCGGAGGGCTGTCGCGACCGCACATACCACTCTGTCAACCTCCATTCTCAACAATTCTACTAAAATAGGTAATCCCTTTTCTTTTCTTACTGCAGCTCTTACATCTATGCTTGGCTGCCAGTAGCAAGCAGCAAGATTCTGCAATGCTCCAGCAGCAGCCTCCAAGGTCTCTGGATTGCTACAGTCTGAGAGCAATGCCAGATATGGTCCTACCACCTGTCACACACACAAAGTCAGTCATTAGGGGCACACGTCTATTGATTGAACTTTTAGCTATCATATGTTTAAAAAGTAAATATAACCAAGAAAATATATAACTCAAAAGTATTTACAGTCACTTAGTATGTAATTGTAAAGAAAAAAATAAAATAAATATATATACAAGCACTAGATCAATATAACATATAACACTTTCATGAAACTGAATTGACTACACACAATTTTAATTCAATCAGTATTATAGACAGCATATGATAATCATAACAGAGTAGTTATTCATAATATAACTACAGTATATACTTGTGTTACTAGACTCAAAAGCAAAGCACAGAAATCTACCAATGAATTTCTACATAATAATTTAGTGATCATGTAAGTAAAGTCATCATTAATTGGTTGCATTGCATAAGAAAAATAAAAGTATGAAAATATGAGTGAGTGTCCTGCAAAATCCATATCATTGATTGGCCAGAGGGCTGACTATGTTCTGTAGTAAGATACCTCCTCCAGGCAGAAAATACTTTTGCTACAATCAACTTCTCACTCACTCAAATCAGGGTTATATTAAGGATTCACAACTCTTATCCTATAGGTTTATGTGTTCTGAACAACCTTGACAAGAGGGTGAAGCCATAAGCCTTCTAAAGATCTTGACCCCCTGACCCGAAGCTTACTAGTCCCAAGTTAATCACCATATAAGAGATTCATGCTTAAACTAGCCCCCTCGGGGGCAATAAAAAAAAATCTATTAGATGCAAAGCAGTGATCCAACTGGGTGAAGAGCTGTCTGAAGCAAAACCCTTGTCCACACACCATTAAACACACAAACCCACTGGAAGAGGAAAGTTCTACCTGATATTGATCTTACAGGTCACTCATTGATAACCCACAGGACATAAAAGATAATAAGTGTAGTACAGGACAATACAGCATCAGAAGCATTACACAAAGTTAATAAATACAAGGCAGCCAAATTGTGAGTTTCAATGGTTTATGTGCAAGAGACCAAAGAAATATCACATAGATGAGAGAAGGAAAAGACACAACACATCATCCATCTGACAGGATTTTAACTTTACAACTGAGAGGTTTCTTTGGACAATAGTAGCCAAGGTCTCTGAAATTCTCTGAATATTTGTTATAAAATTACAAGCACAATTACAGTAACAGAGATATGTATGACCATGGCCACAATTTTTTTGCAATTTGGTACACAATATTTGTTTGGTTACACAAGTCAAGTAAGCTGTCTGAAGAAGAGAGAAAATAAAGCATAGATCTTCCCAAGTCAACGTTCTTCAACAAACTAACAGTACACCTCTAAAGTAGTGTGACCTTCACTTCTACCATTCTGTACAGTCACAAACAAAAGTCCTGTTGCCTCTCCTCCTGAATCACAAACCCCAAGAATCAGACTGATGCATTATTCTGTCCATAAATGCTTCAGATTAACGAGTCTGAACCTCAGTGTTTGTGGAGCAGCAGGAGAGGCGACAGGACTTGTGTTTGCGACTGTACATATATACATGACAATTATTCCTTTAACTAAACAATCAAAGTGAGCAAGCAAAAGTGCCAATCCCCACCTTGAAACACCCCTCCAGCAAGCAAAAAAAAATATCACTTTGTTATCTCCAGGGACAGTCAGTGTAGGATACTGTTAGGATGGGAGAGGGAAGGGTACTTACTACCTCAGGTTGCCAGAGAAGTTCCATGCCTCTTAGAGGTTCTGTGCGAGGTCCTGTCGTCCTCTGCCCGGCGCTCGTCTCTTTAACTGCCCCACCGACTGCCTCTTTCTTCTTTCTACTGCCTCCAAAACATCCTAAGTTATCACCTGGAGGCAAAAGTTTAGATACTCATTATGTGTAAATAAAAGAAAAGATGCTTCTAAAAAATAATCTACTGAAAAAATAATACTAATAAAGATAAAAAATTATAATAAAGATGATAATGATATATTTACAATAATAATGGTAACAACAACAACCAAACAAATACACCAGTACTATAAACAGCTGCTCCAAAACTGCTGTGCTGTACCATACTAATAAAGCTAAAATTACTCACATAACACAACAACTATTAGAAAACATACAACAAGAATAAATAATGGTAAAACCTCCATAAGCTATAGACATGATCATCTCCTTCAAGTTCACATTATGTAAAGGTCTAAGACGTTCACTATTAGTAAATTTACACCAAAGGGGACGTACAAGATTATACCCTTTGTTATGTTTAGGTGTGTTGGGTGGCAGAGGTGCTAAGTCTGTAAACATGATGAATCAATGTAAATTTATATGACGATTTTACTATCTATCAAACTATCTGCCTCTCTCTTTCTACCTACCAGTTAAGTTATAAAAACCCTATTCTCGATGCAGGAGGAAGTCAATATTTCGAGAGGACGTTTTACTTAAGGAAGACTTGACTTGACCTGACCTAACCTGACCTGCTTGACAAATACGGCTTGGCGTTTAAAAACCTTACTTTTGGAGGTTTACCGACAATACTGCAAAAATAAAATGATCAACAATAATATTAATGATACAGAATGATGCTTAACCAAATAATATTCAGTCTTAAAGAGACACAAATCATAGCATGAATTTAAAGGTGAAAACAAACAAACATGAACTTACATTTAAACACATCAAATTAAAAAAAAAAATGGGTAAAATTATGTTAAAATAGAGGAATTAAGATTTATTTTATCTCTTAACAGGATAAAGATTTATTGTTTAAATATTCATTTTATCTTAAAGGAATAAAGAAATAAAGTTTTATTCTGGGTCTTTAAAGAAATGAAGATTTATTCTACTGTACATCTTAAAGAAAAAGACTTATTCTACCTCTTAAAGTAATAAAGACTAATTCTACCTCTTAAAGACAGAAGACTAATTCTACCTCTTAAAGTAAGAAAGACTTATTCTACCTCTTAAAGACAAAAGACTAATTCTACCTCTTAAAAGTAATAAAGACTTACTCTGTATTCTACCTCTTAAAATAATAGGCTTATTCTACATCTTAAAGAAATAATTATTCTACTTCTTAAATCAATAAGACTTATTCTAAATCTTAGAAGGAAAAGAGGAAATATTTAAATGAAGGGGAAAAACAACTGAGATGAAAGCTGTCTGAAGTTCATTTAAAAAAGATGAAAGGAGTGTGATGGAAAGTGACAGCTGAGATAACAACTGGAAAAATCCAAACTAATCGTGTCATCAGTTACCTCACCATGTCGTTGGGAAAGAATTAAGACTCGACCAAAGTAAATTCATTACCAATTTCTAATAAAGGGAAATATACAAACAATTAACTTTTAAAAAGTTCTTCCCTTCATGTGATTTGATTATGTAAAATATAACATATATAGAAAATACAGAGGAAGATCTGAGAGAGAGAGAGAGGGAGAGAAAAAAAAGGAGAGGAGAGAAAAAAGAGATTGAGAGAGAGAATAGGAGAGAGAAAAAAGAAAGACAGCACTAAGGAACGATGGAAGTAAAAGTTGGAGACACAAGACAAAGGAATAGCAACAGCAAAATAAGACAGCAAGTATGTAATATAAATGCACAGGACAGGACCCTAAGTGATGCAGCTAAGACCTTGATACACTCTTTACCACCTTGACTTTGGCTTGCATCGCAGCTTTATCGGGAAATACTATCCGATTGTTGAAACTAACAAACATTACTCATAATTTTGGAATACTACTCACTGCAACGGCCAGAACAATTACCTAGAGCTTTGATCTGACGATAAAAACATGAAAGAGTAACTAGGATTATAATAATTATTCAACGGAAGATCTGACGACATTACTCACAGTTTAGTGTTTGGGATACAACTCGTAGTTTTGTTCATTATTCACACCTAAAGAGTCTGGGATATTACAGATCATTGACGATTGGGACATCTAAAATTGCTCAAGCCTGGGATAGTGACCACAACAAGTGTCCAGTGGAGCATATCAATCAAAATTATAGCAAACTGATACATTTTGGTGGTTGTACCTGGTGTACTTGGCTCACACTATAATTAGTGATTATAGTAAAGTTACGTACTCTTGGCTACAGTTGAAAGGAAGTACTGTATTGAGGTGAAAGGTACGTGGGGAAAACTCATTAAGGTAGTAAGCGACAGAGATGAACCAAATGAAGGACACCAGTAAAACTCCGTTTATAGGAATCAGAAGAATAAATCAGGGGCGGGGCTGGGGGGTCCAATAAAATTAACAAAACAGAAGAAACAGATTTTTTTTTTGGGCAGTAGAGGATATATTAGAGAATGTTTGGGGTAAACGTCACGGATGAAACGACCAGCACAATGACTGAGTATTTGAGGTCAACAGAAAATGATGATTTGGTTGTGACATGTAACACCTGATGGCATTGGCTGACAGACAGTAGTAAATGGCAATGGTGGTGATCAAAGGTGGTCGTTGTGATAATAGGATAGGAGAGGTTAGGTTAGGTTCTTTGGGGTGATGTTGATGGAAGGCACTTGACTATGGGTAATAATTGATGATGACTAAGGTAGATTATATATATTTTTTTGTAGGTAGTGGTAGTGGTGGTGGTGATCGAAGGTGGTGGTGGTGGTGTTAGAGGTTGGTCAGGAGTATATTGATAATGGTGGACAGATAGAAGTGATGAGAGTTAACAGTGAGAGCAGGTTGTGGTGTTAGTATTCTGGATGCTAGAGTAGGAGGAGAGGATGAGGCTGGTGGTGGTGAGAGAGAAATGATGGTGTGGTAGTACTGGTAGTGGGGGTAGTAGAGTTGGAATGGGTTTAGTGGTATGGGTAGTGGTGGGTGCAATGGTAGTATGGGTAGTGGTAATTGTAGTTTGGGTGACAAGAGTAGGTTGCAGTAGCAGTGAGGTTGGTAGTAGCACCCTGGAAGACACAGTTAGTGCAAGTGTGGGTGACATAAATGACAGGTACTGGTGGTTGGCTGATGGTGCAAGTATTGGCTGTTATTAGTGAGGTGTATTTTCCCTTTTTTCTGAATACTGGGGGAAATATCAAGAGGTATGAGGGAAGGCTTCAAGTTCTATGTGGAGGTCTCATCAGGGGCACAGGACATTAAGAAGAGGGGGGTCATCTGAGCAAAAAACTGGGAGGACGTGATCTAATAAGCTGGAATCAAGAACATCTAAAAAATCATTGTGAGTACAGGTGTCATCCTAAACTGTTATCTACCAATACATTACGAGCAAATTAACAACATCCTAATTACAATTACGTACACCACAACGCATACACGAGTAATAATTTTATGGCACAAGTACAGTATAACATGTAAAACTAAAGTGCAAATATGGCAGCCAGTTCTTAAATGCTACATACATACATCTACTAACAATGTAAACACATGATTTGAGAATGAAACTAGGCTGTGTTCCATGCAGGAGTCAAAATGCATATTGTATATTATTCTTTTCTGGTCAAGAACTTATGCAGGCAAAGCTGAACCATAATACAGTACAGTATATAAATTTGTGTACATATATACAAGTGGTGACAGTTCCTTCAAGTAATATTGGTTCATTAAAAACATCTTAAGCATTATTTTCATTCTGGAAATACTGGAGCTCCCTTCAGTACAACTTTTCTTGTTATCAGGAATAATTTGTGATTTCGACCCAACTAAAGGAAGCCTGATGACTCCAACATTACAACTGTTGAGAACAAGTCTAAAGTATCAGTATCACAGTAAGTGGTCCAGGGCATAAGAGCTGGAAGTACACCCAATACAGTAATCATCTCACTGAAAACAATGCTAAGGCTTGTGTACGAGGGAACTTCATTATCACTATATGATCAATAAACAGACCACGACCAGCTGCAACAAAAGCACTGTACAGTACAAAACAAAATAAAGGGAAAAGTCTACTGCCAGGCAGCAAATCATTAACATTTGACTCAATTTACAAAGAAGCCCATCAGAACTTTGTGTGGTGGCAAGTCTTATCATGTCTAACATAGATACAGTACTAGCTAAGTTTTGATGCTTCAATATCAATAATTCAACAACTCATATGTACAGTATTATACTTTATCATGGAAATAAGTCTTTGGTGTTTTTGTGTTATCTTCAGAGTTCAATTATATGTACTGTACTTTATGATACAGTATGATGTTTTATCCATTGTGTATTTTATTGTACTTGTGATGAATACCCAATAAATCAACAGATCATACAAGCATGCTGACCTGATCACTTCTACTCCAGCTCAGTGAATTAATATATGTAAAACTTGACTATTACTGTTACTACCAATGAATAACTGAGAACAATAAAACCCTGTGAAACTCATACCCTTGGGTCTAGGTTTTTCAAGATAGACAAGTTTTGACCTAATTCTAACAGGTTACTACACGTGCCTTGTGAAGTTGCTTTTATATACAGTACTGTAGTCTTGTATCCTCTCCCCTTTCTTTCTTAAAGAGTATTGTAATAAAAAAGAGAAGCATGATGGAAAAAATTCATAAAATCAATTGCAAAACATAGGCATCCAAATAACATATATATACAGTACGGTATATATATGCATACGTATATAATTTTGCAAACATGCCAATAAAGTTTAAAGAAAGCAGAACAAGTACATATACAGCATACTGTATATAATTCTGTGAAGAGGAGAAAATATTAATATTAAAAATCATATCTGGCATGAAGCACACAACACGAGAGACATGAAGCATACAGTAGTTACTCTCAGGAACAACGGCAACACGTGCATGCTAGCAAGAGGCACTAGAGTGGTGGTAACATGCACAATCATACTGCACAGCCACTGTTGTCCATCGCCAGTCTGGATTGGGAACTGGGAATTTATAGGATTTAGTAAAATAGGATGTTGAGTATGGAGAGTAGAAGGCTTACACAGGTTGTCCTTGGGCTCCGAAGACCTACCACAAGTGTCCGTCCCTTCCCCTTCTCCGTCTGTAACCAGCAAGTTCCTGGGTTAGTCCTCATACCATCAACAGTAACCATGACAGTTCATTATTACAGATTAGTATTCAAAATTCATCTCTTAAACACACACTCATAAACTCAACCCTCGAGAACATTAATATAAAACAATGCATTATCTGCTATACATACACACAGGCATGTCACCTTTATCCACATGCAGTGTAATGGTTCTATCCCACAAATACTGAAATTTATTGGTAAAATACTTGAGTATATCAGGCAGGCTTAAGACATTAATCACAAGACAATCGTACTCTAATTTGTACTACTTAAATTCTCGGACTCAAATGTTAGTAAGAGGGGCATCAAAAGTTGCAATTAAATACTTTATGCAATTTCTTTAATCAGTAAAAGGATAATGCTTTGACAGAGAGACCAAGAAACAGATCTTTGGCATCAGATCTAATTTTTGATGATACAGAAGTTTCATCTTCAGAGGTTCTAAATATTAGAACTGTACTAGATCTTTAAAGGTTCTAAAATGAGTTCTAGTCCTCTTCATCTACACAGGAACGTCCACTCATTACCAGCTGTCGACGTACAAGCTGTCATTGTGAGTGACAGCTTTATGATCATATAATTAATAAGTTCACGAACATCACTTTACAATACAAAATAGATTCATTCATTAGTACTGGATCTCAAGTTCTCATTAATACTTGATTTTTCTTTCTTTACCTAAGTTTCAAAACTTTAATTGAAAACAAAATTTACTTTTTATTTTCTATTATTGTTATGAGCAAGTTTGCTTAATACGGAAGACTCTAAACTCCTCTAAAAAGTTAGAAACATGACTGCCAACCTTCCTTTCTTGCCACTATACAATACTATATTAAATACAAAATCTGCAGTCAGAAAAACTTTTAACATTCTGTAACAAGTGACATGTACAGTCACCCACAAAAGTTCCGTCGCCTCTCCTCCTGAACCACAAACCCCAAGATTCAGATTCGTGAACCTGAAGCCGCAGACACTGATGCATTATTCTGTCCATAAATGCTCCGGATTCATGAGTCTAAATCTCGAGGTGCATGGTTCAGGAGGAGAGGCGACAGGACTTTAGTGGGAGATTGTACATAAATATTGAAGGTATTGCACAAAAATAAAAGAGAGTTAATTGATTCAACCCCAGACAGCCCAAGTATGAAAGGCTATACAGTAAATACTTCAGTACATTAAAACAGAATTTCCACTCTTCCAGACCATCGATAATTATGTCTACTCAAATAGTATCAAGATAAACTAACAAATGAACTCAAATAAGATGCTCCTTCCTCTCAGCATAGGGGAGAACAAGCAAAATGAAGTAGTAAAATTTTCTAGGTCCTTCATCAAACATATTCACCAAACCTTCAGAAGAATTATAACAGTAACTCACCCTTGGCTGTAGCAGTGGCCCGGGACTGGGTCGGAGGTTGATTCTTATCGTAGTTAGGATCCTCAACTTCTTGACAGCGGTAGGAGAGGTTTCGTAGAATACACACACAATTCTCTACACTCTTATTGTCATGGGAAGACCCCTGGATGGCAGACTTAATTACTGTGAGAAGCGAATCTACCAGCCCGAGGCACTGACGGAGTTTAGTTCGTGCATATTCACCAGCTGAACTTACATTCCTGTAAACAGATATAATAATAATAATGAGTTACTTGACTACAGAAATAACTCACACTTAACAAAAAGATAAACTTAAAAAAATATTAATCAGCCACAACGAGACACTAACCTTAAAACTCCTGAGGCATTTTTAAATACAGTGGACCACCAGACATCTACATTAGGATCACGTTCTACTTCTCCCCCATCCCAGCCTGAGCATGGAATGATGACGTGGGTAACAGTAACTGTTAATGCATCGTCTATGATGCTGTGCTTCAAGTCCTGCAAATATAAGGAAATGTGGTTTTAAGTCGAGGCATAATATCTGCCGATGAAAATTTCTTATTGAAAGTCTTAAAAATATAAACCAAGAAATTTCAAATGCCAATTATATAAGCCTGTTGCAGTCAACATTGTTCTTGTATGTTTTATGAGTGAGGTACAGCACAGTCAGGATCTACCAATTGTTTTTATCCATCACCTGTGAAGAATTAATAAAAATTAAAATGCCTCCACTAAAAAATGACAAAGCCAACAACAGTTTAATTTCCCAAACAAATACAAAGATTATATTGCAAAATTTTCCAAGGTAGAGTGAAGTAAATACCTCACAAGATGATAAATTCCAGAGAATGCCGGTGACCAGCTCCTTTATTTCGTTGTCTGGAGTCTTGCGCAAGAGTCGAACTAGTGATGGTATACCTTGAGCATCTTTAATGGCTCGTTTATTTTCATCGTTTTGGCGTCCATATGATAAGTTTCTGACAAGGACAAACAAGATAACCATTACTTTCAAAAAATACTTGTACCCAGTAACTAATGAATAAAATTTCATTCCTTAATCTATATCCATGATAGTAAAGAGTATAATATCAACTATGTTCAAAATATTACCCATCTTCCAACCTATTTACCTATCTGCATCAAAAAAGTCAAGTCCTTGCAAAGAAAAACAGGACAGTTATTAAAGCATTTTCTTCAAAACCTTCAACTGCAGGAAGTGGTTACCCTCAATGCTATATTTTACTGTATAATTATCTGATGATGTTGCCCTAAACATTAATCACTATGACCTCAATACGACTAAATGAATGTTAGTGTCTATGTCTTCTTTAGCAACAGTAGTGAAATTTGGGGAAGGAAGGCTATTAGTGCAAGAGGAAAATAGTTTTGAATAAATTAAAAGCAAAATTTATTATTTTACTGTAGTATATAACAATGAATGAGCAGTATAAACAAGAAACAGAACCAGGCTAGAAGGTTACCTAAGAGCCCCACAAGCATTACGGTGAAGTTCTGGCAGGTCGTGAGTGAGGAGGGCTACAAGGGGAGGAATGCCGCCTAGAATTCGCGTCTTTTGCTTGGTTGTGTCGTCCATATAACATAGATGCTGAAGGTATGCAGCAGCGTTGGCTTTTACCACATTATTAGGATTGCTCAAGAAATCTATAACCTCGTGTAGATCCGGATCTCGCCACCGCACTGTTTGGGGGAAACAAGATAAAAAACATCTTAATATTTCCCAGGCCACTGTAGTGATTCAAACTTTAGTAGTAAGATGTGATAATTTGTTTTTTTACTATATCTACCAAAGCTTTAATAAATTTACAGCCAATATATATGTACAATAAAAACTAGTGGGTTTTTTTCACAATACATGTGTACTTCTCATACAGATTTGCATACATTGATTTTTAAAACATCATATCACACTTCCATTTCAGGTACACCCGGGTACATCATTTTTTCTCCAAGAACTTAAACTTTTCCTAGTTCACCAAATATTCAGCTACTTGTGTAATTTTCCTAACTGTTCTTGTAGATATGTAACAAAATAATCCAGTAATCTAAATACACCAGACTCAAGACTCCTGTCCATCTTAAAAACACTAAAAGCATCCCAGAAATATTAAGGATTGTCAGAGCCATTCTCAACCCAGAGGGATATACCGGTACCTCAAACTGGCAGTAGCCAGACTGAAAACTGAGAACTTCCTAAAATGTTGGAGTCATTAAGCCTCCTTTAGGTCAAAAGATGTCAACAAAAGGTCCTAAATTTAAGTTCCACCTCTGTTTAATGATAATAATAATAAACCTAATATTTGTACTGTAATAACAATTCTCTCAGTCATCTATTTAAGGTAAAGACTTAATATTAAATTACCTAAAAAGATTTGGATCCTAAAATTGAAATATGTAAAGATTATCTGAATTCCTCTAGTGTGGGACCAAATTACCAGAGGCTTTCTCGTCTACTACTTCAATAAAAAACTACCCAACCAACCCCGTCCCAGAACCCTAACCTCCATTTCCTATGGAAATTCTATTCTGAGATACAACATACTTGAGAAAATCATCTGCATTCACTATGGGAAGTCATGGTCAGTTTCATCCAAGCCTGAAATCATCACTGAAGTACAGTAGTGCGATAAATTGTATGAACATTGCTTTACAGCTCAAAAAAATACTTATTCTGTACATGAGTCTCTATTGGTGACTATATCATTGGCTTGAATATGTATAGGACTAGACAAGAAAGCTTTAGTATAAATGCACTTTTCTGATGAAAAAATAGCAAAGCAGTATATATTTTTTTTTATTTGTAATTACTATACTGTACTCTAAATAAATGGGGGAAAAAGCTCATCTAACCACATGTACAAACTGCTAAATACTGTACTGTACTTTTTCATAACATGTTGGCATCACTGTTTTCATGTAATTCACCTTTGGCTGTGTTCTTGACGAGTACCTGTGCTTTTAGAAACTGTTAAAAGACATAATTCAATAAAATAGTGATAATAACATAGTTTTGACATTTAACAAAAGCCAGACAGAGCATCACACCTCTAGGAGCACTGCTGTCTGCTGAGGGAGAACGTAGCAGGTTGGGGTGTGCATAGTTGTCGTGATTTTGTTTGGGCGGAGGTGGCAAGGAAGGGGTCGACGGCGAGATGTGTGGGGGAGGTGCAGGGTGCTGTACATGGGGAGGTTCCTCGTCATACATAGCAGGGGAGGGTAAAAGAGGTTCGGCACTTGCCCTCACCCCTCCATTTATAGTATAGGGTGAGCGGGGGGCACCCAGCAGCCGCCCATACACCACTCCATCGGGAGGGTACACCATCCCCCCACTCTCAGCTCCGGGGTACCTGCTATCCTCGGGGTAATCCCCAACATGGACGTCACCTTCAAGGCCGCCATCTACAGTGCAAACACAAACACAATACATCATGCTAAGAGACAAAAAGCATACAGTACACATTCTACCAACACAAAACTAATATTTCAAGCCAAGTAACAGAAACCAATCATAATAAAATGCTGAAAATCATAAAAAAAAAATAAAAAAAATTCAAGGACTGTGCATGTCTATGTGATCATCTAAGCAAATGAACTCTGAGCATCAAAATTTATAATGCAGTCGCTGTGTAAAGGACAAATTAAAAATCAATAACAAAGATCAACTATAAACCCCAAAAAGTGTTCCGGCAGGCAAGCACTACTTACGTATATTGCGACAAGAGGATCCATACAATTCATGGTGCAGTGCCTAACCTTAGATAATGTAGTGCTGAGGTGACATAGACATTGTGACAAGTGAAATTGGAAGAAAACATGGCTAGTAGTTATCAGTGAGGTGATTGTGAGGTTCTTATAACACTGAAAATGAGGGAGAGAAGAAAAGTAATGGAAAATAACATCAGTGCACAGAACCCAAAGTAAAACTGTACGAGCAGCCAGCAAAGTGTGATGGCAGAAGTGCTGGGGAATCCTACGAGGTCCATTATGCTTTGAATGTAAGTAATGACTTATTTGAAATGGGTAAATGTCTCAGCTAACAACTTCACATCTTTTCATTACAGGAACTTTATAAGCTTAGTACATTGCTCCTTTTTTTAGCCCAGTTGTATACATTCAAAGCAAAATGGTGCATCATCAATTTTTCCAGAAAGACACTAACAATACTCCCTACTGTAAGCTTTTTGTATTTAAGCTCCAAAACCAATTAGTACACATTAGATGCGCATTTGAATCTATCTTTTCCAAAGTATATCTCAGTATTTCATGCTTGAGAAATTCTTAAGTGATATGTATTTTCTCACAACATTCATATGAAGTACTTTAAGGCTACTTATAAACTATTGTACTAATCAATGTGTGGTTAATACCTGCTTCTCCATTAGTCCTTATCCAATGTATAAACTTTTTCCGTTTCCCCTAATGTGAAGACACAATTACTATCATATGACAGAAGAGATAATAAAAAATAGTAATAGATAATGATTACAAACTTGATGATGTTCGAATTATGATTCTAATTGGATCAAACTGCTTGTAGGTTTCATTATATTTTTACAGTAATATACTTCAACGCAAGGACTCGTACCTTTCATCACAGACCCTTGACATACATCATATAACCTAAATTTATATTAGAGTTGACTCCTCGCGCCAAAATGAGTTTATTAACCCCTGTGTATGGACTCCTCTCTGAGCAGAACAAAATAGTCTGGCATTAGCCAAATAAAATACAGTACCGACCCCGTAGTGTATGAGTTAAACAGAAAAACGTATTTGATACATTTTTCTTTTACATTATCTATAAAGCAAAAAGCTGTTAACCTAATAAGATAATGTATACAAACAGTCCTGTACAATATGTAACATTATGGAAGAGGACGGGAAGCAATGGGTAATAAGCGAGAAAAGCAAATACTCTCATGACTAATTTGATGGGTTTAACAACACAACTAAGGCCTCAACAGCACCAAACAATAAAGACAACACAAGAGTACACCGTCACGAGGAACAGCGTCCATATGGCAAATGTAAATGTTGGTCACTGATGATGATGATAATATACTCAGCTGGCTAAGAGAATAAGTTAAAAGGAAAAAGAAATGGCTTCCCATAATCAGAATTTCAAAACAGTAATCCCTGGACATCATGGCTGGCCCTCCACAATAAACAAAGGTAACAACTACTGTATGACCAAAATATTTAAGCAGGAATCAAAGTTTAAGGAAGTTATTGCAAGAGAGACAGCATTTCCTATATATTGTACAGTTCTTTAGTTAGTGTCCATGGAGGGGAGGAGAGGGGGAGACACTGGGAAAAATTTTCTGACCCAAGTTAGGCATTGTATCAAAGTCTCTATGTAGAAATATAACACACTGTGGATTTAATGTTAACTGCATCCATTCACCTCACTATAACCAGGGATCACTTCTGTACACCAAATTCCATGTTGGTTATAGGGAATAATTTTTAACAAGCTAAAAATCTATGGTTGACAGATGATAGACAATAAACAAATAAAGCTTTGTGGCACTAGCTTAGCCACCTGAGCTGATAAAAAGAAGAAGCTGTAATACAAGGTCCCGTGCAAACAGCTTTAAACAGCAATAAAATCTATTGATGTTAAGATTTTGGGGATCTGTGACTCATACTTACCCATAAGTTGAGGGTCATCAGCTAGCATTAAGAGGATGAATTTACATTTATGATAATACAAATATAAATAATAAATGCACGAGGATGATGTTTCACTAGATATTCAAGAGAGGTTAACTTGAAACCTTTACGACTAAATTATTCCCTCAAGGAGTTTGAAATATCCACTTGTTTTTCTGCAGTGTACAGTTGAGATTCCACAACATACAACTTACCACATTAATTTATCAACAGTACAAAATCTCTTTTGACTTTCACCAGTCTTGGTATAACAAGTCTTCTAAAATGACCTGATGATCTTAAATAAACACTGTACTGATGAGGGATTGATCCTAGAAACCTATTTGATAATGAGTACAGGTTTGGTAACTCATGTACTTGTGTTGAAAATATTGTGAGATTGATCCAAGGTGTCCCAGGAACCGTCCACCTGTATATCTGGGCTATATTCCAGAAACCCAGTAAAACTAAATATCTAGTTACATCCTGCGGCCCTTATGAATAAAGATTAACATTGATAAACCAGCTGCTTAACACAGCGAATCAGGCGACTAATTTAAGCTCAAACCAGCTAGTACTGCTGCAAGGACAGAGGCAAGAACTCAAAGCAATATTGAGACACACACCCTTATCCTATAGTCAAAGGTAAAGATCAACACATATTACCAAGTGTTACACAGGCCAACTATGCAAAGGGTTGATCTGGGATCCCCAAAAGGGTACACTTTCTAGTGCTCAAACTGCTTCCCCAGAGTACAGTTCTGATTGCACAGATAACTATACAGAAAAAAAGAAAACACAGTCTCCAGGTCATATACACAAACAAGGAAATGTGGCTGAAAATCTAATATATTTTACTACTGTATTATAAAAAGCCCTATAGTTGCTACACTATAACCCACTGTTAACAGCCAAAAACTAAATTAAACTAGTTTGTCCACAAATGTAACCAAGAAACAATAACACAAAATGACCCATTTCTGATTCCAAGCATGAACAAAAAACCTCTGATTTCTGACTCTGTGAGTCTGGTTTGTTGGGAACCTTAATAATACACTGAAGACCAACCAACAGCACTGAGGGACCAAGCAAAACTAAAGTCTCCCTTGGGTTTCATATGAGGCCAAAGACAGTATTAAGTCATCCCTGTGTCTCCCCTGGAAACAGGATCTGCTCCTGGATTGACTATGTAGAGCCCAAGTGGTACAAATGCTTGATCATCTGTCCACGAGCCAATTACCATCCTAGTTGCTAAGCAACTATAAACTTACTAGAACATGAAAAATGTTTTGCCGAAGTATATATTTACATAGCACTGTTAAGCAACCAGTGTACAGTATTTTACACATAAATGCTTCAAATACATGAAAGAAGCACTTAGATGCCTAAACAGTGTTAAGAGAACTGTCCAAACAGATGAGAAGAAACTGTACAACCAAAGGTCAACTGAGGCTGAGGCCAGCATTATAGCCAGCTTGGATCATGAGGCACAGAGGCAATGATGCAGCAGCAACAACAAGACTCGAAGCTCTTACCTTTGAGCAGCTGGGTCATGTGTTACCCCTTACTCACAGGGGCTGTGGCTGAACCAGATCTTATCTCTTAGATTTCTAGTTTTGTTTCATTTCTAGCAGCTCAATCACACAAGTGGAAGGTTCCTGGTATCCTTGAGGTTAAACCTGCAAGCTTGTCAACACATAATTGAGTTACCCAACAAGCAATTTTTTTTGTATGAAGAGGATAAAATTCTTTTATGTATTTACCCTACCTCCAGTAAAATGAAAACTAAGTACAATATATTATTTATCACAAATTATTTGTACATGTCTTTTGGTACATTTCAAAAACTGTGAGAGTGATATATAAGAGGGCAGCTTGTAAAGAACTAAGTGAAATCATAAACTATGCTCATGTAAATGGTAATAATGTATTGTATACAGTATAAAGAATATTCAACTGTGAATAAGGTAGGCAAAACTGCAGTACCGTACCATTACATATTCTACAAACTGACCAGTTTTACATACACTGTAATGACAACACTCTCAAACAACCAATAACTTAATGCATGTGAGTTTTACATACAGGGTGGTTCAAAAACTTCCACAAAAGATCTCACAGATCCACTAATTCATCCAGTAGCCATACTTGTAATACAGACTACGTCACTAACCATATCTATCTTGTGGGATGCCCTGCATGCTCGGTGAAGGTGTATTCCTATATGGGTCCTCACCATTGGGAGGGAGCAGCGTACCATCTAGCTCAGCATAGCCACTTTGAGGGTAGCCACCAACTGTAAAGATATAAGATAAATTGGCAGCAATGTACAGAGTAAGCAAGAAAACATGAGAGGTGAGAGAATAGTCTGCTGAGAAGAAAAAGTAAATTAAACTCGAAAAAATCATATTAAAAAACATTTCCTTGTTCTCAGAAACCCCCCCCCCAACACAGGGGGTATTATTCACTATCTCATATTAAGCCTTAATAACCTGACAGCCTACCTGAGTGACATGTGTTATAAAAATATAGGTTTATGAGGTAAGGACCCACTTAACCCCCTGAAATAGTGGTCGCCGGGACTATACAGATGATTAGTTTTGTTTAGCTCCTACAACTAAAGAAGTCCTACAAGGATCTCTCACAAGTAGAAGTTGAAATTTAAAGCAGGAGAAGAAGGTCCTATCACCACTTGTTACTTGTTCAATTTAACCTTCCGTCCCAACCTCTCACTTACAGGGTGTATCCTCGTTGTCCTCATTACAGCTGGGGAATCGATAAGTAGTTAATTATCTTCTAAAGCTTATACGGGTACCATTATTGGCCTTTTGCAGGGCATGTCTGGTTGCTGACTAAAACTTTCATACACAGATTACTGAAACTAAAGAACATTGTGGGAAGATGTAAGGGCAGTTTTTCCCTTTAGGTAAATGTTTAGTTCATCTTCCCTGGTGAGGTGTCTGCCATGGTGCCAGTTGAAGCTTTAGTTTCCCCCACCTCCCAAATCACGCTGCGGCTTTGAACAACATGGGTCACTGAGGAAGGCCATCAGGTTAAAAATAGAGGATTGATCCTGAAATCCCACTTTATAACCGAGGCCACACTGAGTGACTCGCTTGTTCCCCATCACACTAAAGGCTGTCTGTAAGGCAGCTGACACTGATGGCTGCTGTTGATGTTATCGCAATTTACACCCAAACAAGTGAATGGAGTGACGTGCATGGTGCTGACCCAGTGGCAATATGAATTATTTACCTTCTGCTTTAACAATGGTAAATTGCACTTCTCAGAGAATGCTACAGTACAGGACTCTGGATGTGGAGGGAAAGTGAAACTAATCACTTGCTTAGTCTCAACTGCAATTTAAATATGTCCTAGCCCCACAAGCTTAGCTGGTTGTATACCTTTGAGTTAGGCCTTCAGGATAAATCTGCCATCTATACACAACTATAAATTAACATTATCATTTATTTCCTGCAACGATTAAAAGGTAAGAAAAAAGTTAGTAAATAGAGCTACTAAAAAATATATGCTGTACCCTAAAACATCTACAGTACTATATAGTGAAGAGAACAAGTACAGTACAGTCATAACTAAAAGCATTAATAAGGTTATACCATTACACCACAGTACAGTACTGTACAACACTGGAGAGCTCTTTTAAGTTAAGGATGTCAGGATTGGTTCACAAACATAAACTGCACATATACAGTACTTACTGTAAAACAAATACATCACCAAAAATATATGGTTAATGACAGAGTAAAGTATTAGTAACAAGATAACCACACAGGCTTGAGGTCGATCACCTTCATGAAATCATTCTTCAGAGTTGTAATCACACAATTAATCAACAGGGTGGCCAAAAAGTTCTTGTACATCTGTAATAACTTGTTCTAATTACAATAAATGTAAGTATAACTAGGAAGAACTGTACTGTTAAGTGGGAAAGGTCTTATAAAGATGTTACAATGTAAATATAATGTAGGGGTCTGGATGTACACAGTGAGTGATAAATGCTGGACTGATGAGGAAGTTTTATTTGATCCCAACTGATGGTGGTATGAGGGGTCAGAGGCTGGCCAAAGAAGATATACTTTATAGAGCATCAAGGACAGGGAAAGAATTGTTCAGGTAAAACAGTACATCACCTGAGTGAATGACAAAGTTGCCATTAAAGATACATAATGATTTTACTATGACAGTAAAGTTCCAAAAGCCACAGCTCTGAACAATAAAAAGAAGGAAATGCTAATTATTAACCTTATCTGAGATCTTGCTGTAATACAGTATAGTATACAGGTAAGTACATACTGTACAATGTTAATTTTCACTTAAATTTGTTGAAGTATTCATGATCACAACTCTCAACTAAAACGTCAGAATTTAAAAAGTTCAAGATGGCTCCCACAGCGGCTATATGGTACATCAGACCAAACAAAAATCAGAGGGGGTCTTAAAGCAACATTAGACCAACCTACGTGAATAGTTTCACAAAATTGTACACAATGGTTTCTGAGATGATGATAATGCTTGCACCTCCCCAACACATACACTAGAAATTTGTGGTCCTGCACTAGCTGAACTAATGAAAAAATTATATAAATGAACAAATAAGAAAATAATAAAAATTCCAACTCGCCAACAGAATATTTATTTACGAGATACTGTACCACAGTATGTCAATTGTATTCTAATATCACCTTTACCCCTTCACTTTGGAGATGCTACGTTTAATATTTTATTTGGCTAACGCTAGACGATTTTATTCAGCAGAGAGGGGGCTCTGTACACGTGTGGTTAAAGAGCATTTAATGAAATCTGAAATTGTATATCTAGCTGTATCCACATATCAACAATAATAAAGATAAATGAAAAACTAAAAATCGCATACCAGTACAGATGTATGTGCACCTGTGTGCCGGAACAGGGCATTGTAGCTACACCTCTAAACATTAAGGAACATTTGGGGTCTGGGCTTGACAACATTGTACAGGTTTAACATTCACAGCAAACTCCATTTCCTTTGGGATAATATCACAAACGGTTAGTATTCAAAACATATCCATGAAAACTAAATCCAATCCACAAGGAAACTGACCTAGTAGGTGTTCACTCAGCATGCTGGCACTCACGACACTTACTGTTACTTTCCCTTAGAGAGATGAGGGAGTCCCAGTGTTCGGGTGGCAACAGAAATGTGACCGTCTTCTTGAGGCTTTTGTTCTGGGCTTCACCTTCCAGTGTCTGGAGGACAACATCTGGACATGATTCTATCGAGATCGCTTTATCTAACAGTTTTCTTTGTAAGGGTTGAATGACGTGTTGTTCGCTCGTAGGTACCAGATATGAACACTCTGGATGGGCTATATTCGAGTCTTCACTGTTTGGTGTTAAGACCTCCAGATTAGTTCCACTGTCTTCACTTACATCAACTGGCTTTTGAAAACTGTCGACTTTGTTATTATATGACGGTAGATACAGATAGTCCACTTGATCCTGTGGTCTGTCACATGCTTGGAATGTGATGAGAGGGGAGGCAACTAATGGTTTGAAGGTAGTGAGCAGTTTATCTTGTTCACAAACACGTGTAGGTCCTGCTACCTGAGTGAAAACTTTTATTGGATTAGTTTGTTGTTTGGTATAATTGTCCACAATTGTCAAGTTGGTTAATACAGGGGGATAATTTTCCTCTTGATTGACAACAAACTTTTTCTCATCATCTACAACCAATCTGTTATCTGGACTTACTATTCCTTTATAGTTGCAGAAATATTTATCAGTTGGCATTATCTTTGAACTATTTTCCATAAAATATGTTGGGCAGTAAGGATGGCCAGGCAATGAGCCTTGTTCTGCTAGGCAACCAAAATGCTCGTAGTTAAAATTAAGAGGGTTTGGAAAGCCCTCACTGGGAACATACGTAGGAAGTTCAATGTATCCCTTGCTGGCGTCATCACAGCCATCACCTGCACAACGTTCGCCACTAAAACTCTCAGACTTCTCTATCCCTTTGACTGTACACACGACAGCTTCACTCGACTCCTTTTCACATTCTTTTACCACACTCTCATCTTTTTTCTCTACAGGGACATTCTTCACATCCTTCATTTTAGTTTCTTCTGAAAATGTATTTTGTGAAACTATTTGTCGATCGAGAGGATTTCCTGAGGTAGGAGCAGCACCACCATCAATTTTTAATATGGGCTTTTCTTCCGGCCGTGATTCTTTCTTATCACTGGTGGAACAATGAACCTCCACGTTTGCCGACTCACCTGTCACTTCCTTACTTGGCTCCTTGACCTTCTTGCGTACAGGTAATGTGGCACTTATCTTAGCCAATTCCATGAAGTCTCTTGGGTCTGTATTTGTACTAACACTTACACACGAGGCACTTAATGAACGTGTTATTTTTCTGCCTTTCATAAGGGTTTTAGGCTTTGGCTTTGTCTTTGGTTTGTGATGTGTCTTGAGGTTTCCATCACTTACTTTATTAATACTTCCTGAACATTTACCATAAACTATAGATGCTCCTCCTCTGTGGTCACTTACCACATGCTCTGCTTCACACCAGAAAGGGGAGTCAAGGCTGTGGCTCGCATCTAGGCAGGGCACTCCACATTTATGACCTGAGAAGCTTGTTTTTTCAGCTTGCATCGTTGCTGGCAGACTTCCTTCAACATTTCGGAGAGGCAACTTTCCTTTCGAGTTTTGTTTCATTTTAGGTTTAGCTCCAGCAATGTGTTGAACTGTCTCCTCCTGTTTAGATTTTCCGGAGGGAGAGGCACAGGTACTCGATGGGACATATACTGACGAAGGGACATTAGGAGATTTGGGCTCACAGGAAGACGTGGGAATTCTTCTGGAAGTTGGGATACAAGCGCACATGTAGGCATCCTTTTGGTCCTTCTGAGACGGTTTCTCCTGATGGTGAGTACCTCCTTGCTGAAGACGCCTTTCCTCAGTGGTCGGTGAAGCTGTACCTGGGGGGCCGTCCTGTGAGGAGTCACCTGCGGCCACACCATCATCATTCTTTGAGGGCCAATTGAGCCTGACATAAACTGATGATCGTGGCATGGTGACATCACCACACCAGTCATCAAGTATTCCATTAATAGTTTTCCTTGATCAATAACATTCACAGTTATCAATTATTAAGTTTGTTACAGTCTTTCTGTATGAAATAAAAACAATATTTAATTACAATTGGTAAGCCACATCTAACATGGTTTTGAAATCATTAATACACTCTTTAGACTACAGCACAATGATCATCAGCAAGAATAAACTAAATACCCTCCACAATGTGTGTTGTTTTGCCGATTATTGGAAGTGTAATGGTAATACAGCACCTCACTCCTCCTCCTAAATCTTTCTCTCTTACATCTCTATCCTCCTCTTCTCTCTCTCACACCAACATCCACACACTCCACCACCTAATTCTCATCTACACATAAATTCAAACATAGCACAAAAACAGATGAAGTACAGGAAGGAGAGAAGGAAGGGAGAGACGAAGTAGACAGCTGGTGAATTTTAAGAACACGGCCACACAGACACTTCAGCTGGCCGACGCGCGCGCGCACACACACACACACACACACTTTTCTTCATCAAGACCGAGTTAAAACGCTGTCATTTTTACACCGAAGAGTGATATTCATGTCAGTTTACAGATTGGTGGGTGGGTGTGTGTGGCAGTGACCCCGAGACTGACCAACAGAGCCACCTGTGGATTGGGGTACATCATGACAAGTGAGCGGCGGCGCAGAGGCAGCTGGAGACCGGCCAATATGAACGGCGTGACTCCCTCCCGCTGAGGTGAACACCCAACGAGTCTTGTACACACCATCATTCCTCTCCCCCCACCACCCTGTATTATGCTTACCACCAGCACCTTCTATACCCAGGAGGGGGAGGGGAGAGTAGATGCCACTCCCTTCCTTGAGGCCATTAAGAAAATGTAATCAGTATGTACTAGCAGGAATTTGTTTAATTTTCCATGTTATGTTGCACAATAGGGGCAAACATGGAGTTTATTGTGATAATGCAGTGTGTGTGTGTGTGTGTGTGTGTGTGTTGCAGCCGCTCACGATACACGATGGATCTGCCGCTGCACCAAACTTACATGTCAGCCCCGCCCCAGGCACGCCTCCCACATGCCATCACAAGACTACCTTATCTATTTTTTGTAAAAGTTACTTGTTCTACAGGTCAACAAGTACAGAAACTTGAAATTTTATACTTTTTCTTGCATCAGTGTTATCCTTTGGAATTTTACCTCATCATATTGATCACTACACAATTTACACTGAAAAAAGTGACTAATATTTGAGCTGCATCAAGTTTGATTTTAACTGAACAAATCCCTGTGTCTGGCTGTCTGCCTTATAAAAGGTTATATACAGTACTTCGTGTTTACCGGCGCCGCTCCACTAAAATCACACAGTCTAATGATGTTTAAATTCGTGGGAGAGGCGGAGGGAGTGTACACCACTGTGGCTCTGTTATGTATTCACATTTTCAGTTATATTTAAATGTCGTTTTCTCTTCCTCTAGCGGTAAATATACACGAGCCATGAAGATTACATCAGCGTTTTAAAAGTAAGACGAAATTCCGAAGTAAAAAGTGGTGCTGGGAAAATATTACATTACCCACACACATCACTCGTCCCACAAGACGTGTACTTGGCTGCTGGTATAAACTATTAATAGTCTACAGTCTCACGCCTACTGTGTGTATCTCATGATTCTTATCATAACAGAATATGACTATTGTGTGAAGCGTGTCTTCCTTCAGGTAATTCTTATTAAGTACTTACACATCTTCTTCACGACACATATATACAGGCAAAACTACAGTACTGTACAGAAGTCCTATCTTTATCTTTACAGGTACAGTTAATTGTGAATCCTCACCTGTCACTCAAGTTTCCCAGCCCCGCACCACTAAAAAGGATAAGATGATATACAATGATAGAGAAGGGAATATACTTGAGAATCTAGAATGGGAAAAGTTTGACCACAATAGATTTAACAAATATTTTCTGAAGTACCAAATGTATAGATAAAACTGTCAGTGTATATGGATGTATGTGTGTGGGGGTCAGCATACCGCCCAGCATCACCGACATGAATGAACTTCGTGACATTTAAATGAAGCTTCCTGCGCCTTCCTCTTACTCTCCGGGGGGCTGGCGGCACCTGGCACAAACACACTTTTTCCTCCACCTTGACTTTAGATAATTATATCCTTTCACATAACTTTATTTTTCCTTGAAAATTCCCGTTTTTTTTTTTACGTCTGGACAGTGTACGACCTTTTCAAATTTTGTCCATCAGCCAATTAAATCAGTGCAGCTCAGAAGTGTTTACAGAATATGAAGAAACGTAAACAATGTAAAATAAAAAGGCAACTAAATATTTAATTCGGGTTATTAGCCAAGCAATCATTAACAGTTAAAATATATATTCAAGGTTTGTAGCACAAACTTTTACTCATTTTATACTATGTTGTTGGCTAAGTCAGTCTGTTAAAATTATTACAAATTATTCAACTATGTTAATTTATGCCACTGCACTTTGATATATTATGTTAAGAGTAGACAGAAGGGATCCCCTCCACATGGTAATAAAAAAAACTCGGGTCCTGATCAACATCACGCATACAGTGCCTGGGAACAACACCGCTCCCGTGGGCTTGGGGGGGGGGGGGCATTCGTATTCCGACTTCAGCTCTTTTTATTTATTTTTTTAACAATAGAGATGATAGGTACCAGCAGGGTGACCCAGATTTAATAATATTTGAAGCCCATGGCGGCGGCAGCAGTCGGCAACGTGCCCGAAGCAGTCACCTGTGCGTACACTTCCCACACTACCCCCCAGCCCCCTCTACTCTTCACGTCCTCCCGCTCTCACTATACAAAACTCTTCACGTTCCTATGATACTTCTAGGACTCTTAACTCCCTCTGCCACCTATTAATATTTCCTATAATTACAACCCTATGATTTACCGTCATCACAACCTTGACTTAAGAACAATAACAACCTTAAGATTTAAGACAAACAACATTACGTTCGGTGACTTACAACAACTTTATATATTGTCTCAGTAAATAAATAAAAATACATAAATGGTTACCAACATGAGTACAGCAACAACAGTTCATCACAACTAGATTAAAACGAGTGGACCAGCCAATATTGATGAGACACACACACACCAACGTGATCCTTTGTAAACAACTCGGACGTCATGACCTCGCATTGTGTGTTCTACTGCGAGGTTTCCCCGGTTTGGTGGTCAATGTCCCTCATAAACTGTTGCCACACTCGGCAAATGTCACATATTCATTATCGCGTTAGTTAACTCATATAACTAGCATTTTAATGAATCCATAGCTCCATCTTACAATAACCAATTTATTATTATTTTTGTTTATTTAAAGAGATTTTGCTTCAAACTACACAATTTGACCCTGGGGGAAAAATATTGTATTGTACTGAGCTTAAGGAAAAAATTATGATAACTTCGTGGACATGGCAGCGCGACAGACCTTAACCACCCCGCAGCCGATCAAGTTCTATTAATTATAACAAATATTAATGAGAGCAAAGGTGATGATAGATTAACCTTGCTTAGCTTCTCGTATACCTGTTGTCAGCTGCCGCGTCACCACCAAGGACAACCATGGTACTGCACAGACTCCAGCTGGACGCTAAGACGCATGCATTTGTTTTACACCACACCAGTCACTACAGCTGACATAAAACTGTTCCAACACGTTACGTCCTTCATCTAACTCGTGTACATCAGCTTAAATGTCTTCGGCACTGCACTATTTATACCATCTTCCTGGAAATATCAGTTCAATTGGTCGAGAATTCTTGAAGGAAATGAAGTCACGAGGTGAATAGCTTTACATCTGCCATCTTCACGGAATCGAATGACATAAACAGGTCACGATGGTGATACAAAACCCCGCTATAACTTTATATACCCTTAATGTTATAACCGCTTATAATACCGTAACAACACGACTCTAAATGTACTTATTGGGGGACTAAATACGTAACAAAAAACACAAAAAGGTAGAGTTTACTTGTTTGTATGAGTGAGAGTTGTAGCAGCCCCTCGATGCTTATTTTGTGTCACGTGTTGGGCTAATTAGTGAAGCACCTGCCCTTGGCGTCAACACCCTGCTGCACCCATCCGCCTTGGCTCCTGCCCACCTCAGTCCTCCCTCCACATTCCTCCCAACTACCCATGACACTGTTACTTAAATCAGCACAACCTTAAAGACACTGCCCTAAAATTATAATACTTTAATACTTCTCACATTAAATTATAAAACTATTAGCACATAATCTTTCCCTGGCCGTGTCTAGAGTTTGCATTCACAATAATTCCCCACTCAAGTTTTTCCAGTACACGGAAACAAAAAAACCTCAAACTGGCCTCAACTCAAACCAACAACACGAGGCTGACCTAGTCCTGTCAGCACTATGGTCGCCCTTCCGTCATGGCGTCCTAACCACACTACCACATTATCACCCCACAACATTACATCTCATTACCACACCACCAACATTACCATACTATCGCCACACTACTAACACCCCAGAAAACTACCATTCCACCACACTACACCACAACTGTCACAACACCACCACCCCAACGCCGGCCTCACTGACCTTCACTATTCAAGGTTCTTCAGCTTTATAATTTACTTCATCTATTAAGCAATGCAAATACAAGCATAGATGTTAAGAACGGTAAACACACTTATGTAAGGAACACACACTGCTCAGGATTCACTGGTACATAACCTCGCTGTAGTAGAAATACCCAGTACAGTATATAAAGACATCCACATAACACATCGGACGGAATGTATGACGTATCTTTGTATGATAATCTAAACATTCACAAAAAAATTCCGTAAAATGGATGATTAAATCAGCAAATAACCAAGGTGTATTTATTTACACTCATACACACCCACACAATTTCAACTTGTGACTAGATGATGAGAATATTGCAGTACTATACTTAATGTTTTGTTAACGTATAACATGAAGTAGATAAGAGTGAGTGAGCCACGTGCATGACCCAGCAGTCACTGTCAGGAGCTGTCCCTCCCACACACTGGTTTTCTGTATCAGTCAGGAAACATGTGTCATTGTTTCAGTCGAAGCAGCACAACAATAATAATAAAACTGTTACACTCAGATGATCACTGGTCGACGAAGAGACAATATAGTAACCAGTTATTGTTTGGTGGTTATGGCTGGCGTGAGGTGTGGGGGGCCGCGTACACCGGTTATTTACAAAAACACGAACTTGAGTGTCAGTGTGTGCCATGAAGGAGAGCACCTGAGTTATGGGCACCGTCAACCTGGCTGGCACCACACATACACACACTCCACTACTACCGTGTTATGTCTCCGTTCATGTTCACTCCGCTACGTAAGTCCACCCCCCACACTCTCTCTCATCTATTTCCGTATTATTCCTCGATTCACTAGCTTCTAGAATACATTAAAGTATTGGGGGAAGTGAGGTATGCGTTCAGTAGATGGCGTGAGTGAGGGCATAACACACACACACACAGAGGTGGGGAGGAGAGAGGCTGGTGGTGGTGGCGATCGAGTGTAGCACTAAGGCGCCATACACACCTGGCTCACACTTCCACGAGTCTTGGCACCAACACCCTGCCCACGCCCACACTACCCCTGCCAGTTACTTACGACCTTTATACCCTACCCTGCCAGCCTTCCTCCCGACCCTATCCTGCCCCATCAACCATTCTCGTAACACCTTGTCAACCATCCCAAATCACGGTACCACACACAAATGGACGAGAATTCACAGGATGGGATTTGGCGACAATTTCCAAACCGATATGAATTCTAGTTATTAAAATGTATAGCTTCGTTATTTCAAGGTTTAAGAGTTTGGTTGTGACCAGTGACGTAACATTCCTGGGGCGTAAGATCACTGTGTGGTGCCCCAGCTGCCTTCACACCTTTTGATTTATTTTTGTACATTTCTACAACTATACTATATACAAATGACTAGTCTGCAAGTGTATAAACGAAAACAACATATAAATAAATTAAAAATCTAACCCAAATGAACTAAAAATAGCTTGAGGTCGTTTTGCTCAGTGAGACGCGTTTAGTTCGTGTCGTTGGCTAGTTGAAAATGTTTAACCCGTACAGTCTGGTCTGATAGTAAATTTCGCCATGGTATCGAGTAGCTACGTGGTACTAATCCAGGGTATTATATGGCCGTTATGTGGTACTATTTGGTAAGTTCAAGGTAGGTCATTCGGCCATCAAATATCTTCCCGAGATTATCTGAGAAATTTCTACCTATTAATGAAAATCGCGGAGTAGAAATAGCGAGAGCCGGGAAACTTAACGTTTACAAAATCACAATTGACGAGTTGGCAACCCAGGCTGTGACACACCACTGTCGTTACAAGTGTCATGTACACGCGTCACACACCTACTTATCTTCACTCATATATCTATGTTTTCTCCTCTGCCACACACACACACACAAACGGCAACAAACAAACAAACACACACACACACGCAAACTATTTCACAATGAAGGCTGTTAACATTCCTACTTAATTACAGGAAATTTTCTTCCTGAAGGAGGGTGTATTGCCCCCCCCCCCCCTCATACCCCCCACCCTGCACCCCCAGCCCCCCTCACCGCCACTGCCAAGGACGGTCTAAGTAAACAAACCATCGACCTCATTAGCAGTAAAATATGACCGAAAAAAAGCAGCTGATAGGTATGTGATTTTTTTTCTCTTCGCCATTACTGCAAACCTAAAATTCACAAGTCCCTGAACTCATTGTTTATTTTCGATCACCTGAGAATTTTTAGACCCCACAGCTTATCCTACCTTAACATTGATCACCCTAAACAACCCAACCACCCTTAACTAACCTAACCACTCAAAACTACACTAACCTAATCTAAACAACCTAAACTAACCTAACCAAACCCCTTGAGAGTGTTTTGTGTCTTATCATCGAGGGGGCTAATGTTCAGGTGATTCTTAATTTTGCTTGGGTTGCCAGCCATAAATTGCCTTATATCACTAGTGTGTGTTAAACCCTTGAGACTATTACTCTTGTCGGTTGAAAGGTTAAAGTTTGTCCAGGAAGAGGAGGAGGATCTGCCAAGTTGTACCCATCATGCCATGAGACCCACCACCACCACACAACCCACCCTCCATATGACCCACCCTCCATATGACCTACCCCCACACGACCCTCCCTTTGCACACTGTCACCCTCACTCCCTGCTTGATAACCTTCTTTGTACAAACCTTCCACCCAGTTAGTCAGGAAGAAAAAAGCCTAATGTCTATAGCTAAAAGAATATTAAAAGGCAATAATCCTTATGTGAAAATCAACATTTAATCAGTCTGTTGCTAGACAGAGGATGGAACAGATATCCTCCCCTCCTGTCCTGTTACCACCACACTCCTACACTCATCACTACACTTAACACCTGGCATCCTTCTACCTATCTCCACATTGGGAAGGGCAGTCAAGGTGAGGGGAGGGGGGCCATTTTTTACAAGGACCTGGTATTACTCTCCCCATTTCCAAGAAAATGTTGATAACAAGGAAACGTCTTAAGACCATGTCAGCATAACAAACTGGCTGATGAACATAAAAAGTGAGAATGTCTGCATCAAACCATCATTTTATCTGGTGGCATTATGTACAATTTCTTTAGGTAACATAACAAATATTTATAACTCTTCTTCTGGACCACCAACACTGTGTCATCTGTCAACAAGAGCTGACTTATCTCCCATTTGCACCTCACATCCCATCCCTATTAATCAAACCTGGACCCTTTCCCTCACTCTTGGTTTCACTGAACGATCATGGCAACGTTACACATTATTGACCCAATAACATTTTCCCTGCGAAACAGAACGACTTGCCAACATTTAACATGCTTGCTCCAGAGTTATTGAAAGCCCAGTTTGTCTGATAAAATCACAAGTGTGAGTCATGTATTCTGAAGTGCAGACATTCTCAAAGGAAAAATTATAGTACAGTACTGTACTATTCAAAAATAATATAAATGTCATAGTTATCTTTTGTCCAAGAAAAAAAAAATTTTACATCGAAAAAAATTCTTTAAATTAAAAGACTAAATCATTTATGAAAGGAAAAAAAATCAGTTTAGAAATGGAGGTCTGAGTTATCCAGGAAGCAGAAATGTGCATAATGGAGAGGAAAATATGGTGTGAAATTCTTTTTAGGGATAAATGAGTTGTTGTTGGGATATTCTGTCTTGTGTGAAGTAATGGAGGTAAACCAGATACGAGACTGTTGTGCATAGGAAATATTGTACCAGCTTCTACAACAATAAGGATGAATAAATGCCAAAGAACGAAGAGAAAATAAGTTGGTGTATTTACTGTACTGTACTCCAGCAGCCCCGCATTACAGGGGAAAAAAATCTTTCCATTCCTCTTATATTCCTCATCTTATTAGGACTGACATTTTAAGTCACTAAATAATGCTTTCGAAACTGAATTCTCTGAAGTTCATTTTCTAGTTGTTGTTCTGCCATCAGTCATATTAACCAATATCCTGACAATCTTTTCCCAGTTACTCTTATCATGTGAACCAATACCGACATCACGTTCATAAGCTGTTTACTGTATACGTACTTCTACTTGGACAATGAAACACATATCTTTAAGTTCTGCTAATGGTCAAATGATGCACTTCACAATCACCACTAAATGTAAAATAAGACTAAAGATTACACTCTTGTAAAGATTGACAAGAAACACAAGAAATAAAGAAGAAGTTGTTGAGATTAGACTTACCTCCTCCTGCTGGCTGGAGAACTTAAATGAAGGCAAAGCAGAACCTGATGCAAGCCTCAGAGGTCTTGTTTACTCAGAAAGAGTCAGCAAAGAAGACCTGGAGTACTACACACAGAATGGAAACTGACTACTGTCCTCACTGTACAGTACTGGCCTACATCAGTGTCACACAAACAATGTCTCACTACTTCTTGTAATTTTTTAACTGTTTTTGTCTGATGTAAATGTTTCTGTTTCCCTTTAGAAGGTTTATAAGATAATGCCTCAATGGAGTGAAAAGTAAAGCAAACTGTAGTGTACTCAATTCATATAAAATATAAAACTTGAAATAATGGTAACAGAATATTGATGTCCTTTAGAGTGTTGTAGGCAGTTAGCAAGCTATGCTGGCTATTTGAAGACTGGGTTAACACCAGCAGTAAAGTTGTAAACTGTACTGTCATGTTCATATCAGTGACTGATTCCATTCCAGAAGGGAGAAGCCATCTTCATTTGTAGATAATAAAAAAAATAATTCTTATGGCCAAAAACATTAGCTCAATAAAATCTTTCTGTACAACTTTAGCAAACTTAAAAGGGTCTATTATTTATGTATGCCCTCAAAATAAGTCAAAAACATAGTACAGTACAGTATGTCAAATGGAACTACCTGATGTGGGTTTCAAATGGCAGTGACATGCTATGACTATGCACAGAAATGAAGCAAAGCTCTTCACTGCTCGCTGTATTATTCACAGTTAACCCTTGACCAGGAATTACAGTTGCAGTGTAATGACAACACATTGCCATTTTACTGATGAGGCAAAAATTTTATAAAATATTTGCAAAATTTTGTTGATTTTCAAAGAATTTTCAGTTTATGAAACCAATATTCCTCACCCCTGAGGAATGGGAATTTTGAATATCAAATGGGTGTTTCCAGTCTTTGTACAACATCTCCAGGAGAAGGTGGTAAAGTGTCCAAGAGTGAAGAGCATGAGGTGTGAAACTGAACGGCACATACCTTGCTGCATGGCGCGGTGAGGAGGGGGGGACTCGGACCGCTCACTAGGCGAAGGTGGGGTGGGGGGGCGCTGTAAGTAGCCAGGATCCACGTAGTTACCTGTAGCATCCCGATAATGGCCACTGTAGCCAGCTTGAGTCTGAGGTGGATACCCGACTTGGTCGTAAGGATAATCTTGACGGGCCGGAGGTCCTCGGGAATATGGGTCATACTCATAACCAGCATTCGAAGTGGGTGGGTAACCCTCATAACGACTTCGTGAGCCTGTGTGTTGTGGCGAGAAAAACATTATGTTCAGTTATTCGGTCAGATAAATAATTGTACGGTAATATCAGTTTGTTAAAGAAGCAAGGTAAGGGAAAATAGATCCTTTTATTCAGTACAAAAAGTAAAATGGGGAAAAATGCACCAGCTTCACTGGCAGGAGAATGAGGGCGATAGGAGTCCATGGCATAGCCGGGTTGTAGGGGGGCTTGACCGTACGGGTAGTCACCAACTTGATATGTGTCCAACACCTCCCCGTCAGGACCAATGTGGTGAAGTTCACGGATAACTTTTGTTGTTGTTGTTATCTGGTAAAAAAAAGAAAACAAAGATGATGCACTGAGATAACTTACAAGACTAAACTCACTGTAAACAAGTATCTATCCCTCCTGTCAGTGCAATTAAGTGCCTGATTCTTTGAAAACACCTGCAGTTGCTCAACTATTCCATAGATATAAACTGTATCCAAACAAGTGTTAAGTCATACATTTGTTATGCAAGCAAATTGATCAGGTAGATGGACAGGCCACACCTTGCAGGTATGGTGTTGTGTAATTTATAGAGGAAGGAAACAAAATATAACCCAGAGTATTAGTGAACAGTATTTTTCTCGGGTAATAATCTCATACTGTGAGACAACTACTGGTAACAGATTTGACCCTCTAATTTTGTTTCCAAATTTATTACCAAGTGATGATGATACAACTAGTGAATGTACCCAGAGGAAGCTCAGGTCTTAGCAACCCAGGAAAGTCATAATCTTAAGGGGGCTGAAGTTTCATCCAAAGACTAGCTCCCCCCCTCCTAACAACCCAAGCTCTTAAAAAGGGATAATTGACCTCTTGAGCTGTGAACATCAAGCAGAATAAATGAAACTATTCTGATCAGGGTTATTTACAACATGGAACTCCTGTCCACCTCTCTTCCCATTGACCCATATGAGACCCCTGGCAGGAAGGTGAGAACAAAGAAAGACAAGAGAAACCTAAAACTCCTTTATCAGGCTGTGACAAATCCCAACTTCTGAGAAATAGAAACTTCATAAATTACTAGAAACATCCTAAGTCCCACCAGTACAAGATGGAGCTGAAGGAACAGGGACAGACAGTTGTGTCATGTTCAACCACCAAAAAATTAAAGTGAGTCACACAGAACTGACTTTGTAAAGCTGTCCTGGTGATCCTGAACTTTAGTATAATCAGTCCTCATTAATCATCTGTTCTTTACTTGTCATTTCATTTATCCGTTGTTCATCAATAGAAGAACACTTTACTGTTATTCATCGTTAAAATCCCACATATTCATCGTTCACACTACCAATACTTGCCATAGTGGGGTAATAAGTCTACACACATAAATAAAATAAATACAGCCAATCTTCGACTTAAGACGGGGTTAAGGACCCACATCCAGGTCGTAAGTCGAATTGGTCGTAAGTCGAAAATGCAAAAATAATACATAGAAAATCTAAATTGGGTGACTCTTCTCAGCACCACAAAACTCTCACTTTTAAGCTTGCCAGCCATTTTAAAGGAAATTACAAACAAAAATTTTGTCAGTACACAGCGTAATCACTAACGTCGGGACCCGAAAATACGTAATTTGAAATTTTTTTGGTACAACTGGGGCGGTTATATGTCCAGGTGGTCGAAAGTCGAGGAGTGGCTGTATACAATTACTACACATACAATATTTACAAAAAAACAAATAAAACAAAAAGACACTATTACTGTGTCTTAACGACTCTTATGTTCGACTACTGGAAGAAAATTTGGTACAACACTCGTACTTGGATTTACCTGCACTACAGATACAATAAAATCTGACTTTTAAAAGACATCTCCAAATTAAATTTCCCATAAATGGTAATAACAGGTGAACAAATAAGTATCAAACCAGCAGTCCCCACCCAGCCCAGGAGACTGATAATAAATAAAATGTTTGTGAAATGTAACAGACATCTGAAGGATATATGCAGCATAAGGCCCCAAATGCCACTGTTATGTGTATCTATTAAAATATGTATGAAGCATTGATTTCCAATGCAGTTCTGTAGAAGTGTCCCCAGCTGTCCCACAATATCAGGAGGACCAGTGTCTTGTCAACTACAGTACTGTAAACACAAGTTATGAAATAAGCAGGATTGATTGATTTGATTGTTTGATTGATTGATTAATTGTGGTAATAACATCCCTGACGATACAACGGCTTAAATTGGCAAGATATGCAAGCAAAAGATCATGGATATTGTTTTACAAGATTAAGAGAATGGTTATGATTCTTACTATCATACATGAGGGACAAAACTGTTAACCTGATAATAGAAGCAACAAGAAGACCAAAGGCTGTCATGGAACAACATGGATTGTACCTGGCTTTATTTAAATGGACTGACAGAGGAGGGGGAGAACGATGCTAACCACCAGTAGATGATGTGTGGTAAGGGACCGGGGGGGCAGGCGGGAGAATGAGTGGAGGATGGGGGAGAACTGAGTAGGAAACCTAACTTTATGAATTACCAGCTTTCAGGTACAGTATGTTGTGTTATAATAGGTGGACACACTATGAAGGCCTGCTCTTTATAAATTCATCTTTTACTCTGGGACAAATAGAAAATACCAATGCATAAGGAAATAAGAGAATGATAGTCTTGCCCTTAACCTAATCTTTTTAAATGATTCTTATTAGTAACACTGACACAGAGGTTGACAACATAGCAAACTAAACTCAGCAACACTTCTAGACAGATGGGGCTTACTTATCTTACACATCAGGATCATAACTAACACCCACACCTTGGTTATCAATCCTCATCTGCATCTACAACCACATCAACCACATACAACCCCAATAACATCTACACCATCTTTCAAATTTTACAACATTTCAATATAACCATCAATTCCCTTCAAAAACAGGACACCGCCTATGTCACATTGAAGGTTTCATGTTATTGGTTGATGAACGCCTATGGATTTATGGGAGGCCTTTTACTGCATTCAAACTACTTAACATAAGAACATAAGGAGTCTGCAATAGGCTGGTTGGCCTGTGCATGGCAGCTCCTGTTGGGAGTTACAACTACTTAGTCCAGCATGTACTGTACTATATTCTTACAACCACTACTGTATACTTAATCATACTACTGTAGTGTGTTTTAATGAAATACTAAAAGCCTCCAGGATATAGATAAAGTATTTACAGTAAGTACCTTGTATACTTCCTGAGATGATATATGTACAAATTAGGTCTGGGTAAGTGCTGATATCGACCAACAACATATTTTCATCAGCTAATTTGCCAATGCACAAGAAACCATATTGATTCAAGATGTTTATGGATTACAGTGGCTATCTTGCATACTTTAAAGAGGATAATTTAAGCTCACATTTAATAAATCAATACAGTTAATTCACGGAGGAAAGGACTGACCGACAGATGGCATGCTGACCCATCAAGCTTCTATGATGCATCAAAAATTTGCACAGTCTGGCTGAATACCAACAATTCACAGAAAATAGAACAAATGAAGGTAAATACTATATTCCTCAACCAAAATGGTCGGACTCTTGAGTTCTCTGCCATATAACTGTCTCATGGAATAGTGGTGCCACCCTTTATGATCCTGGGTCTCCTATTGCCTACCTCACACAGCCATTACCTACTGATCTGATTAATATTGTCAACTTTTGCTCTACCAGCATGAGACTAACAGTTATAGATTAATGTAATATACAGTATTCTAAAATGACTCAAACTACAGCACTAGAACACAAGCCATAACTAACCTGTTGTGTAGTGTGTTGTGTCTGCTTTCGGGAGACCAACTGTGTACTATCTTGCCCGGCAGATGACACAGAGTGTCTTGATGTGTCAGGCGAGTCGTGGTGATGGCCGTTGGTGGTGTGGGGGCCGTAATCAACACTGTAGGAGGTAGTGGTGGTTGTCACCTCTGGTTGACCACTGAAATATTTACACCATTAGTGTTTTGTCACTAACTACAGTATATACAGTACTAGTCCACCAAAACAAGACCAAAAGAAATAAAATTCATCCATATTAATATCAACTACAGTATATACTGTACAGTATGTCTCACTAAACTAAAGAAAATATAAAAATGTTCCAATAAAACTTCTGATGCCATCATTTCAAAACAAAATTCATGTGAGGACAATACTGACTGTGACAAACAACACCAGAAAGGCCCAAACTCTGCCAGAAATCACACGAGTGGAACCATTTTAATACAGTATAGGCACACCAACCAGCCATCCATGTTAACTGTGTGTACTGTACTAAGTTCCAGTACCAAGAAATTCAAAAAATGAAAATGATGATGATGGACAGAAACCTGGATACAGTAGATGTACACATTAGAGTGGAACTTTAACACACACACACACACATGGGCAGAGGGGAAAATATAAAAGATTAATCTAATTTGTATATATAAAATAAGATAATACATAGGCAGGAATGTATAATTACATTTAGACTACAGAACAGTATAATTATCATCCTATTCCAAAGACTTTAACACAGAACATAAGTTTGTCAGCAGGGACTAGAGTACTGTACTTTATATATGTAAAAATGAATACTGTATCAAACATTACATTATATGATACAAAGAACTACAGTACCTCCAGTAAACATTTCACCTTCTGTACATCATCACCTATTTATACTGCAAACTGTATTACACAATAAATGATATACAGGAGGTACCCTAAAAAAAAATGCAGATGAGACTGGAGATTATACACAGTACAGTGCCTACAAATACACTACATGAACCAGTACAGTATATTCTTGGTGTGTCCCTCACTTACACATTGGAGTTGTTTTTTGTAGTCCTTTCCTTCTCTAAGACTCTTCAGGAGAGCAGCGTAAACAAGAGAAATGAAAGAGTGATTAGTTTACCACCTGTCTGTTAAGTGATGCACAATACATTACATTTTCTGAAAGATTATTTGTACTCAATTCACAGCCCATCCAAGATATGACTGGACAAGCATTAGGTATATCAAAACGTCCGGTGTAATCACAAACCCGCTAGTCTGCCGGCTTTAGTACCGATTAATATCGTATAAACAGATGATGATGACTTCCTACATCTATTACAAACACAGGTAATGCATATTCAATTAATATCAATTTACCAGGTATTGTACTATTAAGATTATACTATACTATTTATGATCCATATAGAGATAAATTAATCATTCTGACAGTCTTAATCTTCCTATCATTCTCCACCTCGGTAAGTCCAATAGAATGAGGTACCGAATATGCTGTGTAATCAGGACATGTTATAATAGTATGTACAGTAGTATGTATAATAGAAGCAGCCAAGCAGTTCATGCAATACCTTAATAATTATTCAGGAATTCAGTCTCAATCCCCAAGAGACAATCAGCACCGTGCTTTCTGATCTGTCATGCACGCTGTGGTTTTCTTCATGTCCGACTCTCTCACATCTACTGCCCCCTCTACTCCATCTTTCTATCTCTTCTACTATCTGTATCATCTATTTCTGAATAATACTTCCTTTCCTTCTCTCTCTTCTATCATCCATTTCTACTGTCTTTTTATTGATCTTTCATTTCCCAACCTCTCACTGTCTCAGTACCAACTCTCTTTACACTTCCATATCTTCTCATACCATTGACCCCTTATTCTCTGCATCTTATTCATCCAACATAATAATAATCTCAAACACCTCACTTTGATCACATAGGAATACTCCAGTGCCCTCATCCCCTGTCATCTAGAGATAAACTAACAATTAATAACACTTTTTAAACAGTCCAAAGCTAAAATATTACTTTCCACTGTAAATAAAGAAGATTAGTAACCAGTACAATACAGTATATTGTGTCTGTAGTAAGGGCAAATCCCTGAACCATATTTAATACCCTGGTTTTCTTCACAAGTCGGCTCTACTTTAAACAAGAGAAAACAGCCTCATTACTTGACTATTACACACACCAAGGACAGGTATATCTTAATTATAATTAACATTTACATATTATTCCTAAACATTAATAAACTATATTTTTTAACACTGAGGAAATTATAATCACCAGTTGCAGTTATCTAAAGGTTTGTTAACAATATTGGACACCACATTGTTGATCTGAGGTGAGCTGTAACTAATTATCATGCTTTTAAACTCGGGAGAAAAAAGGCTCTTTATGAACTCTGAACCACAACTAGCCATGCTATTTACCTCTAGCAATATTTACATACCTATGGATGCAATGATACTTTTTTTTCACAGACCACAACATCCAATGTTTTTATGTACCTTTGTATTTAGTATCTTACAATGTACCAGTAAGGCCGAATATAACTAAAATGTTCTGTAATCCGAGACTGTCTAAAGGCATACATTTATTACTACACGTACAACTACAACAGCAGAGGAGAGGCTTGTAATACCATGTACTACAGGAGAGAAGGGAGTTGTACAGTCACTATATGGAGCTTTAACACCTCTCAAATGTCCTACTACTGTCTAGTACTGTACTCGAAAGTTCACCCATGCAGACTACCACCACAAGTTAATGACAGATGTATTTTTATAGTTTTTCTGCCAAACACCGTTCTATTTTATTCATGATACAAATACAGTACAGTCCCCAAACAAGAACTTTTTACAATGCTGGATAAATTTAAGGCCATAATTTTGTAATGAATTCAAAATTAAACAATATGAACCATACTCAAAGTCAGTCTTGGTTTGTGAGTTGGTTCCTGAGGCCTGGCAAGACATTACAAGGAGACAATGTATCCTGCACTACACTCCACCACGTTCACTTTCCAGTCTACAGTCTGGTCCCCATTCGCAACTGGGTCAGCCCTGAACCAACAACACCAAGGACAGGAGGTCAGTAATGTATCCACTAACCCACTGCTTCCCTTCAACAGTTATTAATATTTAGACAATACATATGAAAAGACACTGACATCCTTGAAGAAAAACTGTCTGGTAATACAGGAACTCAACCACAAAACAGAAATCTTCAGCACCACAATTTTCAGTTTGCAATGTCAATTTCTTGCTGGGTTTAAAAACATACAGACATCATGTATTAAGGGGCAGAATATTTTGTACAAACATGATTAACAAGAAAACAAATACTGTATCTATACAGTAGTACCTGTAGAAATGAAGAAAGCAAAAAAATCAAGAAAATAAAAGAAACGCAAACACCCTATATGAGGGGAGAGAATATATTAAACACATGTTGCATCTAACACTGTTATCTGGCCAGTGGTGGCGTGTGGCTGTGTCAGATTCAATATGTGCACGACAGCAAGAGACCTTGAAATCGCAATGTAGAATAAAGAATATCACATTAACTTTAGCCATGTTTAAACAAAAATAATATGTACTGTAGTCTAGTTTGCTGGATGATATATATAGTACACCACAGTACAACATAAAATATTAATGTACTTGTGTAAAGAAAAAAATGTTTAGGGGAGTACAAACAAAGGTGTACATTAAGGGGAGACAGATGAGGGAGATGCAGTCAGCTGATGAGAGTGATGCCATAACCTGCTCACTGTACCTTGGCCTCTCTTGTACACCTACATTTCTTGTCCTTCAGTGAAGAAGTTCTTTTGTTCTAATACCCAAATAAGTTCTTCTGTAAGGCTGACACCGTACACACTACACTGATCTATGGACAGTCACCCTCTCCTCTATATATTAGTACTATATTCTTATCATCTTCATCACCTTCACTCATCTTCTCCCATTCTGGCATCATCACCATGTTCATTATTTCTGTGTCTGTGAAGGTGGAGCACAACTGGAACGTCATTGTAATGTTCAAACATTTCTCCACGTCCTCTTCCTCCACTTTCTTGGCTTCATCACAAGACAATACTGGAACACATGGCAGGAAATATGCCCCGCCACCTATGGCACCAAAACAAAGTGGCTAGGCTGAATTTTGTTTTGTTTTCTTTTTTTTGTAAATCCAAAAATTTTTGTTACAGAAAGAAAAACCAATATTTTCTGAGTGATGGTTTTGGGGTTGAGTGCTTGTACAGTATATGGTCACAGTACAGTAGTGTGGAGTCCAACAGAAGGACTTACCACAAGCAATGACAAAAATATCATCTTTCTGGGTTCTTTTATTGTCAAGAATGCAAACTACTGTACAGTAAAGTATACCTCTCCTGTGGACGACAATTAGGAATAAACAAACTGGAAGGAATATAAATATGTTTGCACCAAAGGAATGTTGTCTTTATAATTCTAAGATTTTTGTCATACGTAATTCACAAAATTCTAAAAAGTGTAGCTTACATCTCGAACATCACAGGTACTGTATTTCATAAATGTAATACAGTACTGTACTACAATACAATATATTAAATTTCATATTCTGTCTGTTCTTATAAAATTAATATTACAATAGTTTTTGTACCTGTAATTTAAATGATACAGTGCAAATCATAGTCCTGTACTTTATTTTATTTTGCACATTTGATTCCATTGGTAATTCTTCTAAAATTATCAATATTCCAGCTTCAGTGTACAGAACCAAACCTGATAATTAAATCTTAAAAACATTTTCTTTTAAATCATGGTACAGTATTTATAGATATTTCACTGATACATATACAGTATTTTTTTATCAGTGACAAACTACCTGACAGCCACATGTCTTAGGTTCCGTACCATCCACTAATGTGTTCACTGTACTGTACAGTCTACAGTAACTCACCTGTCAACCTTACCAATATATTTCCTATTGAAGATGTACACGGTATTCAGCAGGTATTTCTCTCACTATGCAATCAAAGTCACATGTGTTCTCAAAGGTACAAAATTGACATGATATGTTCCAATCACACAAAATTGCACAGAAATAACCAAGGAATGAACCTCAATTATAATTAAGAATATTTAGGAGACAATTAATCAAACACAAGTGGCTGCTAGTGTTTGGTTACAAAAGTTACAAAGCTAAATGTGAGTTTATATTATAGTTAAAATATAAGACACCAACAATGACTTCATATGAAAGAACTCTATATTTCACATTTTGAGTATTATTTATGAAAAACATCCAATTACATAACTTGAAGAATTCTGTAGATTCACATCAATGGATACAACACAAACTTCTACCAGGGAGAAAAAGTGGCTGGATATATAGTATAATACAGTAACCTGGACACAGAATATGAAGTGCATACTCTATAACCTTCACGTGTAAAAGCACAGGGAAGCAGTGGGGCACACAGTAGTGAGAGACAAAGCCATGAGAATGCAGATGCAAGACCTAAAACACACTTTAGTAACACACAAAATAAGAGGTTAGTAAAACATGTATATATGGTGAGTTATTAGGCCAAAATCCCATGTGATATTCTAGGAAATATTAAAATACTAGTGCAGAGGGAGGGGGTGGGGGGTGGGGGAGGGAAGCCGGAGGATCAGAGGTGGCAGCAGCGTGAGCGTGAAAAACTAACGAGTGTTTAGGGGTTGGGGAAGCATCGCAGATTTTGAGCAACAATATTTTATGGGGTAATGAGCTTTAAGGAGAACTGGAAGAGGGTGCAGTGGGTTCAGTATAAAGCTTAACTGTGTGCAAAAGAGTGACACACTAGGGGAGGGCAAGTGAGCACCTCTGTGCTCAAAAAATTACCTTAATACTGCGATTTAATGTCCACCGTACGCTGACCATCAACCTTTCAACTGTTGAAACACAGAAATTAACAATTACTTACAGAACGACACACAGACACACCAGAAATGGTATAGCTTTACAAGGATGAAGAAGTATAAAAGAAAAGTTGAAGTTTACTCCATATATACAGTACTGTAAACATTACATGAAGTCACAAAGAAAATCATATTAGACAAAACAGTAGAGTAAACATAATTATACTGTATTAACAAGACATACTGACATAAACCTTCATGTAGGTAAACATTCAAGAAACCATTATACGTACTGTGAGTCCTCCAACATGGTAACTCATACAAGATATTTAAAAGCTGTAATGTCTATTATACAAACATGAATAAAAGTAGAGGAGATATCTTGTGCAGATAAAATACTTCTGACAAGTGTAGGGGTGATGACTAACACTGTACTGTACACAACTTTTTATACTGTACTGTTATAGCTTAAAAGTGACCAGTATGGCTCTGTATCTCCCAACAAAGGTTTCCCCTAATATGAAGCGAGTGTAAAATTACAAAAGTGTTTGCAATTCATTCATCATTCCATAGATTTACTGTTCATTTTTTTTTTTTTCAAAATAATGACAGCAAAATCTGCTGTGCAATGATAAATAAATTGCAAACACTGCCTTTAAATTTTTCCTGTGCTCCCAATATGTGAAGCACTACCAAATATTTCATCCCTTACTTTATGTTCCAGACCAACCTAATCTAGGTAACCCAATTACTGTACTGTACTGTACATAGTTTCAAATACTTTACATGTTACCGTCCAACATTTGATATATTACACACTTTCCCTAAGTTGCCTCAATATTTCATTGCCTTTAGCTCTAAGATGTGATAAATGATTACTCAAAACTCCCCAAATCCTCCAAATGTTCACCCCTGGAGCTTCCTTACCCCCATGTAGCCACTGTATTGTTTATCACCTAGACTAAAATCCTAAGTAAGTCAGCAAAGGTAACTGGTTTAAACATGTAGCACAAATATTAGCACAAAAATAGTCTTCCACATACTTTGTTACGTCACTGTAGATAAATGTAAAATGTGTGGTAAACAATATCTTACAAAATACCTATGAAATATGTCATACATTGTATAGAATAAATTTTCTTGTTATTTTCTTACAGTTTTGTCACTAATATATAATTACAACATATAAATATAATACTGTATGCAGCTGTGTGTCTAACTTAAAAAACAAAACAATTTATAAAATATTTTTAAGTCATTCCTCAAATAGCCTTCAAAATGCAGTGTTGTCAGATTATATTGGAGTGAGTTCATTAATATAAAAATAAGGAACAACTCTATAAATATTGTACAGTACAGTACTGTATAAATATTTCATTCTTTTACCCTGAAACAAAGAGTATTGGCACACGTGTATGTTGACAAGTCACTGCTACATCTCCCCTCGGAACCACTAAATCGTTCACTATACAGTATATCAATGGGACAATTAATCATGACTATTAACACTCATCAATAACACGAATTACCCATCACTGGTGCTACCACTAACTGATCTACCCATTATCACACACACACACACACAAAGGAAAATGGCCATAAAATAATGATGATAATAAAACTGATACTGTAATATGATTTTCCTTCTGTTAGCCCATACTGTACTGACATCTCACACCTCATACATACAAAAGACATAATTCAGGATTTTTCTTTAGATCCTCACCACCGTCTTTTTAAAAGTTGCTCGTGCGATGATTAATTACTCTTGCTACATGAAAATATTAAATTACTCTATTAACCCAATTGTGGAAGGTCTTCATAATGGCTCACCTTACATGAATGTGTTCTATGCTTTGTCACCTTCAAGTTTATTCTGTTTTTACATATTTATTACTTATTTCTTTTCTTAAATTTTAAAGACCACTAATGTACTACAGTACTTTAAACATAAGGTGCATCAAGCGGGATATAGTGTGTGACTCTTGTACTTACCCATCACAGCCCAGTACAGTTCAATGTATAAGAAAACTATATTGCAATCAACAGACACGACTAATGGTCAATTATGTAAATTGCTATTGTTGAACTGATACTACGCCGTATATTAAACTACATCCTGTACTGTACTGCATTAGAATTCCATAATTAAAAACAATTACCTTAACTACAGTACTTTACTTGTAATGGAGCAAACAGTTTCAACATAGCTTGGCTTTTAGTGTTATGCAAGTGAAATAACAACACCTGAGGCACTTATTAATAACAAAAATTATTACAGTACATTAATTATTACTGTATCTGGTTATAATGGTCAATACACCTGTATTATGCAGCTTTTACATGTACAGTAACAAAGTGATATCATTTGTAACTTTTATGGCTGTGATAATACTGTACAGGTCATGAAATATAGTCAAATAATTCCCCCTTATTTACCAACACCCAGCGAATATAATCTAACTTGAGGTCTACCAATCCTAACTAACTTGTACTGTGTGTTCTAAAACTGTGATATTTCGTGTTGTAATCTGTTTTAGGACCTCTCTCTTCTCTCTCTTTCAACAAATGCACACAAAATCTTAAACCCACCATCTGGTCTAATCCACAGAGAGAAAAAAAGAAAAAGAAAGAAAGAAAGAAAGAAAGAAAGAAAGAAAGAAAGAAAGAAAGAAAGAAAGAAAGAAAGAAAGAAAGAAAGAAAGAACTAAACAAGCAGCCACACACCGATGTAGCTACTGAGCATCTGAGAAAATAAAAACGCCACTGTTAATATCCCGATTCATTATGTTAATATGGTCGACAATTTATTTTAACATGAGAATACAGTTCCTTTAAGGCGATACAGTAACCTATTTAGTTAATATTAGAAAGCAAATTTAATGTTCATAAACTCAAGGCTACAGTAAATTTATTCCCTGGTACAGTGGTATGTTGTACATGTGTGTCCAAAACATTATATAAATTACTTGTCTATTAAACAAGAGGATAAGAGACAACACAGACACATACAGTACGTATATACATTAAAAAACATAAAGGAATCGCCTGAAGAATAGGTTAGGTATGGTTACAGTAGGGCAGAGTAAGTTAGTGTTAGGTTTGGTTAGGGTAGGGTAGGGTAGCATTAAGTTGAGTAGGGTAGCATTTGGTTGGGTTTGGTTGGGTTGGGTCAGCTGAAGTTAGGTTAGGTTAGGATTAGAGTGGTTGGTTAATCTTTAGGTGAAATAAGCTGGGGTGGAGATTTTTCAGGTGATCCACACAAAATAACCCATGCTAATAATTCCAACCAATACATCATACATTATGTTATAGAGTGCACGACACAAGTTACCCGTAAATGCAACAAGTTTTAACCACTAGTGAATTCCAACCTGTGTAAAGATATCATATAGAAAAATGAAATGGAAAACACAGTAATTATAAGATGCTACATGCTTTGATTAGTGAAACCTCTATTTAACGGACTAAATGAAGAGGAAAATCCGTTATATCGAGGGTCCGTTAAATATGAAACCACCATCTAACGAAATATATTAGAGATGAAAGTCCGCTATATCGAAGGTCTGTTAAAAGTGAAACCCCCCCAACTGACGGATTGTATGGAGAGAGAAGTCCCTTTATGGAGGTTTCACTGTGTATCAGTTATGTTTCAAGAACCTTCATTACACAAAATAAATGCAAATAAAGTACTGAGCGAGTAATTCAACGCCTCACCATCCAGAGAAATAAAAGATACAGGCAATAAACTCAGTCTTTAGAACAGTTCCATACAGTCTACCTGAACATTGGTACAATATTGACACAGTAGAAACTAACAGCTCTACCAGTATACTACACACAGGGACAATGTACGGTCGCAAACAAAAGTCCTGTCGCCTCCCCTCTTGAACCACAAACCTCAAAACTTAGACCAGTGAATCCAAAGCATTTATGGACAGATTAATGCATCAGTGTCTACTGCTTTTGGTTAATGAATCTGAATATTGGGGTTTGTGGAACAGTAGGAGAGGAGAAGAGATTTTTATGGGTGACTGTACCTATCTCTGTACACACAAGGTAACTGCAACCAATAAAACAATGTAATGACTATGAGAACCCTGGAGTGTATCTATAAACAACACACCATATCTTTCATATCTTTTATGCTGGTATAAAGAACTGTACCAGAACCTGCAGTAAAGTACCTATGGTGGTTCAGGTCACCTTATCACGACTCACAATATAAACATAACTGTATGTTACTGAAAAGAACATAATCAAGCATATTGTATATTTCATGTAAACAATACTGTAATTACTAGTAAGATTTAACCAAGCGCTAATTCATACCCTATTTAAAGACCTCAGTAGGAAAAACTAAGAGACGTGCAAAATAAGGATCAACAGCAAGTCATATGGCAGCATTCAATAGTTACAAAACCTAGGACCTTCCCAGCATGCACCAACAAGCTCTGGGTTACTAAGAGAGGGCTCGACAAAGTACACTACTATGTCTGTACCTCTGTGCTGTCACCTCAGTCCGCTTCACCGTCTGTTCTTGTTTCTGCTCCACCTTCCGGTTCACCAGCCTGTGACGCCCCAGAATCAAACACACAGTGATTCCAACATATTACAGTCTTATATACAGTACATTTAGAAAGAACTTTTGTTAATGAACCATTCACTACGACCTCCTTTGCATGCAGTACAGTATATACAATCCAAACTTGGCACACAAATGCATAATTATTGCAGATCCAGGTTAGAAATGAGAGCCATGCCAATTGTTTCCACTCATTATGAAGGAAATAAACATTACAAATTTAAGTTTTCTTATTATCTGAACACAATTTCTGACATTTAAAGGCAATGATCTACAAGCTAAGACCATTAAACATACAAGTGAGGGCTGCTGAATCATGAGATATAATCATCTGTTATCAAGAATGTACCTTCTGATTAGGTCATACCAGTAGAGTAGAATAAGGGAGAGAGTTTGTACGCGGTATATGTACAGACACTGAAAAATGTCCTGCCTATCACAATGTTTGCACTTCCTTCTGAGCCACTGGGCTGTGACCATACTAACTGTAGGTCTGCACTAACCGAAGGTAACAGAGACTATAATCAACATTTTATACTCATCAAGATGTCCACATGTTAAAAAATCTAGACGTTTGCCAAAGATGATTCTTATATGTGGGACCCAAATGCTACATTATAATCTTATGACACTGATTACTATTCTGCTTTTTACTGTTACTTCAGAGTCACTTTACACAACATAATTAAAACAGATGATCACATTCTCATAAAATTTACAATGTTAACAAATATTCACACTGGTGTATTAATAATCATCAAAATACAAATTGCTTACACATATACTGTACTGTAATAATACCTTAAATAAACCAAACATAACATAATCTACATGAATAAAGAACCTCACAGCTGGCATTACCTACATACAGTACTCTTGTAGCTATCTCATCAACACATTAATTTTTACTTCAGTCTACACAAACTAAACACCAAATACAATATAAACAAATACAAAACATAGACAATAATTTTCTTAAGTGCAGAATTGTCTTACCTGTAAAAAAAAATATACATTATACAACAAATAGAATCACCAAGTAAACATAGCAGAATACATCTTCAGTACTGGTCAGGGCTTACCCAATGTGTTTTTGCAAGGTAGAGACATCAGATATGGGGGGAGGGGGCTACAGTACATGGTAGCAGAGTGAGATGGATCAGTTTTAGTGAAGGAACTGTACTGGATAGTGTTGAAAGGGCTGAAGGGATGGATGTGGCACTAGTTCGTTGGTGACTATTGAGTTTGTTATAAGAGGGTTTACCAGGAAGTGAAGAAGATGGTGGGTGTAGGTATTTATGGAGGGTCTAACTATACGTGGTTGGCATGGTTTTGTGGAGGAGGAGAGGGGTGGATGGTGAGAGACAGAGGGGGAGGTAGGGGGGGGAGGAGAAAGGGGGTGAAGAGAGAAAAGGAGGTGGTGGAGAGAGACAGAGAAGGAGGTGGTGGAGAGAGACAGAGAAGGAGGTGGTGGAGAGAGACAGAGGAGGTGGTGATGGCGAAACAGGGAAGTAGGTGGTGGAGAGAGACAGGAAAAGAGGTGGAAACAGACAGGGGAGAAGGTGGTGGTGGACAGAGACAGACAGGGGAGAAGGAGGTGGTGGAGAGAGACAGGGGTGGAAGAGGAGGTGGAGAGAGACAGAGTTGGAGGAATGGGTGGAGACAGACAGGGAAGGAGGAGGAGGAGAAACAGAGGAATGCTCTAAGTAGATGATAGATACTGAAGGGTGTGTGGGTGTTAAATCAGGGAATGGGCACAAATGACACACACAAGAGGTAAACATTAAAGAGACTAAGACAACAGGTGGTAGTACTCACAGGTATAAGTCATTAGTCACACACAGGAGGTAAACATTAAAGAGACTAAGACAACAGGTGGTAGTACTCACAGGTATAAGTCATTAGTCACACACAGGAGGTAAACATTAAAGAGACTAAGACAACAGGTGGTAGTACTCACAGGTATAAGTCATTAGTCACACACAGGAGGTAAATATTAAAGAGACTAAGACAACAGGTGGTAGTAGAGTACTCACAAGGTATCAGTCATTGTTGGAGGTTGTTGTTATGTCACGGATAGATTCAGCTGATGCCCCACGCTGCCGCCGCCTTAACCTGTAAACAAAACACAGGTATAAAAATCAAAACATCAAAGAAAAGTAAACAGATTAAAAAATCCCCAATGGAAAAAGCTCACAACTGTGGTAGGAAGATCAAACCAAACCAAACCCATTGTCGTGGTAATACCTGTAACCTATTCACTGGGGGGAAAAAGAATACAACAATTAGTGAAATAAATTTGCAATCGTTCTAATCTCTCTGAACTGTGGTTGGGATTACGGTGAAAAAGACTAAATTCAGCGAAAATCGGTGATAACAAGTGATTATCGAAACATAACATAAACGTCAAGGAACGCCACACAACACCAAATCAGACCCACTAAGGTGTATCCACACTTATACCAATTCCATAAAAAAAGCCACATGGAAACACAATAGCGGTGAATTAAGATCAAACCTCTCGCACTTTAAGCAAATTTGTCTTGTGGATTCCAGCGCCACACAACACCTCACCCTTTATGTTCTGAGTTCACATTAGAACACCTTTATTTACCAGATTATTTACTGTACAAGGGTAAGTTTTGGGCCAACTGAAGAATAAACACCCTAATTTATTTCACCAGAAGATTAATCACCCTAACATTAACTTAACCCCCTAAAGTAGTGCACCAACACCTAAGATGATACTGTAACACTATATAATGATGATAATGATAACTGTAACACTACATACCAGCAATTACAGTTACAGAATTACAGATATATAAGATTCGTAAGCATGTTGAACTAATAACAATAATAAACAAATAATAACAATACAGTAATAACAAAAATAATAACACTAAACAACTCAGCCAACAAAGATGTTTTACATTACTACACCAAAAGAACAGTCTTGTGGTTACGTCAGTTGATAAGTGAAAGTCGAGGCGCACTCAGCAGAGGACATACCTGAACCCTGAGTCAATTTCCAGTTCAGTGCTCCTCAGTATGACCCCACCTAACCAACCTTAATTACTGCATCTCACCTTTTTTATACTCTCTTCTTCAAGGAGCATAATGACAAAGCATTTATTATGCTACTTACCTCACCAGGGAGCATAATGACAAAGACTGAATTATGCTACTTACTTCACCAGGGAGCATAATGACAAAGACACATACCTGGCATACCTGTCATCCCAGAAGCGTCTCTAGGTAAACTGGTGTGTGTGTGTGTGTGTGTGTGTGTGTGTGTGTGTGTGTGTGTGTGTGTGTGTGTGTCACGAACCACTCCCCAAAAAGAGGCCCCTCACCCCCTTCTCTCCCTCCCTCCACCTGAACAAGTTAATTACTGCCTCTCCAATAAATAAAAATGGCAAGAATGACTGACTTACGAAGATGAATTAAAATCAGAGCAGACGATGAGAGGGGTGTGTGTGTGTGTGTGTGTGTGTGTGTGTGTGTGTGTGTGTGTGTGTGTGTGTGTGTGTGTGTGTAATAATAATAATAATAATAATAATAATAATAATAATAATAATAATAATAATAATTAACGGTTTATTGAAAAAGTTCTGCAGCCCGAAGGCTGAAAGTATACATTGGACATAAATGACTTATTACACACATTGGTGGTTTAACAAAAGCCTTCATTAGAGAAAGGTAAAGGAACATACAGTGAACATACAGATTAATGTAGGATTGTACGTGTTGAACAGCAAACACGTAGTGTAGTAACTCCCTCCCAGATGGTGTAAGGAGGGACCTCACGTGATGTAGTGGTTCCCTCAGATGGTGTTATGAGGGACCTGACGTGGTGTAGTAATTCCCTCACAGATAGTGTTATGGGGGACCTCACGTGGTGTAATTACCTCTCAGATGGTGTTATGAGGGTCCTCACGTGGTGTAGTAATTCCCTCACAGATGGTGTTATTAGGGACCTGACGTGGTGTGGTAATTCCTTCACAGATGGTGTTATGAGGGACCTGACGTGGTGTAGTAATTCCCTCACAGATGGTGTTATGAGGGGGCCTCACGTGGTGTAGTAATTCCCTCACAGATGGTGTTATGAGGGTCCTCACGTGGTGTAGTAATTCCCTCACATATGGTGTTATGAGGGACATATGGTGTAGTAATTCCCTCACAGATGGTGTTATATGAGTGAGGTTTGGTCCCAGGCCTTCCTATCGTAGACGGATTAACACATCGCTGGTTATCACGGGCCGTTATCACTGGGTACCTGGGACCTCACTGTGTGAAGGTTAACTTGGGTACGACTGTTACTGTTGAGTTGTTCTCACTGACTTAAGCACTGTTCACCACTGTTCACCTCTGTTTAACACTGGTTCCATTCCTTTCCTAAATGAAATTGTAACTTCTGGCGAGAACTTGTTGATATTCCGGTGGGGAGGAGGGTTCAGGGGAAGGGGTTGGTATGGGCCAACTTAACAGTTGACCTGGCTGCTCCAAGAGGAGCGCCAGGTACGTCTTGACCCTTCGGTGGTCAAGGATGTAGTGTGTGTGTGTGTGTGTGTGTGTGTGTGTGTGTGTGGTGTGTGTGTGAGTGTGAGTGTGAGTGTGTGTGTGTGTGTGTGTGTGTGTGTGCCTCAGTCCCCCTGGGAAGTTGGAGAAGGGTGAGGGGAGGAAACCCACTTTGGAAAGAAAAAAATGAGGTAGATAAGATAGGTGGAGCGGACAGAAAGAGGCAGAGAGGGAGAAAGGTGTGAGTGTGTGTAAGTCAAGGAGGGGACGGGTGAGAGGGGCAGAGGCGATACAACACAAGTCACTTCTATACAAACACAGGGAGAAAATCACCCTTCTTCTCCCTCTCTCCCCACGCCGCGGTGTTGCGTCCGTTACTCGTATCAAGATAACGCTCCTATCTCTTGATAACGTTCACACACACACACACACACACACACACACACACACACACACACACACACACACACACACACACACACACACACACACACACACACACACACACACACACACACACACACACACACACACACACACACACACACACACACACACACACACAGCCTCTGAAACTCATTACAGACACAACAGCCACGCCTCGACAATCATCCCAATATAACTACTTCCACCAACACTCACAACCCACTGTCGTTACCACACACACTCTGAACTGACTAAGTAATGTATGCTGATCACGTGCTGGGCACAGTTAATTGACAGCATTAAAGGCTGACCCTTAAAACACTGACCAACTATTGTATACTGAACCACGTGATATAAATAGCGGTGGTAATGTTTTAACCCAGTGATGTATTTACTTTTACGAGCTGGTTACATAAGAGTGTGTGTGTGTGTGTGTGTGTGTGTGTGTGTGTGTGTGTGTGTAACGTTCTTGTTACTCACCACTGTTACATAATCTCTCTCTCTCTCTCCACATCACACCACACCTTGGCACACCTGGACTCCCCCACACCTTGGCACACCTGGACTCCCCCACACCTTGGCACACCTGGACTCCCCCACACCTTGGCACACCTGGACTCCCCCACACCTTGGCACACCTGGACTCCCCCACAGGTAACGGGAAGGCAAACAAGGAGCTCGAAACTATAATGACTAAGTGTAAGTGGTGGAGACTATTACTGTGCTTACTCTTGGTCAGCTCACACCGGCAGCATCGTGGTGACCCATGATTATTGTACTGTAAATTATAGCTTATTTTCTCTAGATGAATTAACCCTTTCAGTACGATTATTTATTTATTTATTTTGGTGTATAGTAGAGTGTGTATGTGTGTGAGGACGTACTTTTATTATCTACTAACATAACTTTCTCTATTTAAGTTGTTTTAAGTTTAAGTAATGTAAGTGGATAACCTATAATCCTGTTGTTTAAGTATAAGTAGATATCCTAAAGTAAATCTCTAAGTAAAAAAAAACACCACCAAAACCCACTACAATATCCGACACAAAATACAGATTGAGAATACATTATTGTTCCCCTCCCTCAACATACCAACCCCAGTCTATAGAGGTAAACCTGTGGGAAAGAGACCAAGAAAACCTGACCACCTCCCCCGCCTCAGGCCACCATCCACCCCACCAGGAACACAAGAGGAATTCATCACTTATGGAGGAGTGTCGCAAGTACCAAAGTTATAAGACTAGTGGTTGGTTGGGAGTTTAGGAAGGTTAGTTTTGGGGGTAAAGTTTGTTGTGGGATAAGTACAGTACGTATACTGCCGAAACTTGAAAGTCCATCTTGTTTTATCATAGGAAGGGGAAGAAGGGGTAGAGAAAGGAGAGGGGCGGGCAGGTAAGTGAGTGGGGGAGGGAGCAAAGGGGGGGGAGGGAGCAAAGGGAAGGAAGGGAGTAAGGGAGGAGGGAAGGAAGGGGGGTAGGGGAGGGAGCGAGGGGGGAAGGGGGGTATTTTAATGGATGGAATGGTATTGTTGCCCCCCCATTCAGGTGATCCTAGTAATATAACTACCTGGTAACCTTGTGGATAGGAAAGGTACCTGGTGAAATTACACTGGATTACGTTTGCTTTGCTTCCCTTTGGTTAGGTTAGGTTCATCGTCGTCAGATCTATCCATGCACTGGTCACACACCGAGGTCATCCATTGGCCTCGCGGTGGTGGTCAGTATCCCAATTGATGCTGATGATTAAAGCAAGTCATATGTCCTCCTTATAATCTTACTGTCACCCCAGACAACACGCACCAGACACCCCAAATTATTCTCGCCTTCAGCCATTACAGTATCAGACATAAACGGTGGGAGGTCAATGCTTTCCCCTTGATGACCCTGATGATACCACCTTATCTGTGACCTTGACCTCTAGAAAAACCTTTTCCGTGCGTGACCTTAACCACTTACTATTATTAACGTTAATCACTGAGGTATATCACATTGCACTAACTATATGACACCCCTATTATGCACACGCGCGCGCGCACACACACACACACAGTCACCTGCCCTCCTCCACCACACCTTGGACCCACCCAGCTACATCAACGACCCACACCTAAAGTATAATATCTTGCTCTAAGTCAGTGGTGATGTGGGAACCTACCTAACATGCCTAAT